CCCCACAACACCCCTACCCCACATGCAGCACAGCACCCCTACCTCCCCAAACACACAGCACCACTACCCCACCACACACACACAGCAACCCTACCAACACACAGACAGCACCCCTACCTCCCCACACAGCACAGCACCCCTCAAACACACACAACACCCCTCAGACACACAGCACCCCACACACTGTACCCCTCAAAGAAGTATGTGTGCGTGTATTCAGCAGTCTGTGTGTGTGTATACATTCAGCAGTCTGTGTGTACTCAGCAGGGTGTGTATTCAGTGGACTGTGTGTGTGTACTCAGCAGACTGTGTGTGTGTGTATGTGTATTCAGCAGTCTGTGTATAAGTATTCAGCAGTCTGTGTGTGTGTACTCAGCAGAGAGTGTGTGTGTGTGTGTGTGTGTGTGTGTGTGTGTATGCAGCAGTCTGTGTGTGTATGTATTACATTTGTTGGAGATACGAATAAATATAAGCTTAATTTTATCCATTATTTAAAATTTGTATAATTGAACTCTCTGTTGTTGTGTTCTTTTAAAACACAAGTTGTTAATTAGTTTGGACAACTGTACGAGTTATTTTTTCTAAACTTAAACCTCAGTATTCAGGTTTAATTGCCGTGTTGGCACTTTGAGGAAAAAAAGTTGGCATGTAGTGCGGTTTGGGCACTAGGGCTCAAAAAGGTTCGCCATCATTGCCCTATGCTATGGGAATGAAAAGAAAATCTGTTCATTATAATTTTTTTTTTGGTTTTCTCTTGTAATACTTATTTTAATTGGAACTCAACTGCAGAATTTTCTAATTGCAGTAACTATTAGTTTCACCTCCTGTCATACTGATGTGTAGGAGAGGTTACTGTAGCTTTAAATACTCAAGCAGGATGTTAATTGAGTAAAGAATAAGCCAATGAAGATCTGCACAAGCCAAAATAGTTCCAATGCAGAAAAATATGCAGAGTTAGTTTTAGCTTAATTCAGATGGAATAATTGCAAGCAAGATTAGCAATGAGCCTTCAGATACAGTCTATTATTAGTAACAGAGAGAAGCTTGATTGTAGAAACAATTACTTAAGAGGCAGTTCTGGAACTGTAGGGGTTAACTACATCCAATGGAAGTGGAGAGGGGTAGAAGCCCGTTTAGCAAGCCGAGGTCAAGGAGTGGAGAAGGTAGAAGTCCGTTTAGCAAGCCGAGGTCAAGGAGTGGAGAAGGTAGAAGTCCGTTTAGCAAGCCGAGGTCTAAGAGTGGAGAAGGTAGTAGCCGTCCCAGAACGATACTCGATACAGGCAGGATCAAGGTAGTGCAGCTGATAAGTTTGCAGGCACCTGTGCATTAATCCAGCTCTTTGAATCTGGCGCGGTCTTCCTAAGTAGCGTGTAAGGACCGCGTCAGAAAAAAGGGGCGGGGCTAAGCTCCGTGAACCCGGAAGTGGGTTCCTACGGTGAAATGCATGTCAGGCTATACCTGACATCTCTGTTTGTATAGATTGATGTGAAAAATTGTACCATATGGCAGCAACAATAAAAATGTGTGTCACATTGAAAGGGTCTAAATACTTTCTGGTGATATATATATATATATATTTTACACATACATTTTATTTTAATCCCAGTTGGCTATGGGAAGGCATAGGTAATTAAATTAAACTGGAAGTAATCAATCCAGAATTAATAACATGCAAATTGAAGTGTTCATCCTAGGTTAACACCTATTTCAACACCTTACTTTACAAAGACTTGATATGTAGGAAAAGTATACAGGCCTATCATTTAAAAAGAACTATCTTTGGATAATATTTAAATCAAAGTTTAGGAAATTGCTACCCAGCACATGTGCAGCTCTACTCACTATTTTCTGGGATGCGAAAAGGGCCCTGACCTCACAGTCCAGTATATAAAATTAGGTAGGAAGATGGTTCAGCATGCTTCAGTAGTAGAAAAAAAAAATTATGCAACATGTCATAGAAACATAGAATGTGACGGCAGATAAGAACCATTCGGCCCACCTAGTCTTCCCAATTTTTTAAATGCTTAGAAAATTATTAGTCCCTGGCCTTATCTTATAGCTAGGATAGCATTATGCCTATCCCACGCATGCTTAAACTCTTTCACTGTGTTAATCTCTACCACTTCAGCTGTAAGGCTATTTCATGCAACCACTACCCTCTCAGTAAAGTAATACTTCCTGATATTTTTAAACCTTTGCCCCTCTACGTTAAGAATATGTCCTCTTGTTGTGGTAGTTTGTCTTCTTTTATATATAGTCTCCTCCTTTACTGTGTTGCTTCCCTTTATGTATTTAAATGTATTTATCATATCCACCCGTCTTGTCTTTCCTCCAAGCTATACATGTTAAGATCATTGAACCTTTCCTTGTAAGTTTTAGCCTGTAATCCATGAACCAGTTTAGTAGCCCTTCTCTGAACTCTCTCCAAAGTATCAATATCCTTCTGGAGATACGGTCTCTAGTACTGCGTATAATACTCCAAGTGATGTCTCACCAGTGTTTTGTACAATAGCAACAGAAAGAGGGAAGTGCTAATACCAATACCTCTCCCAATACAACCAAGCATTCTGCTAGCATTTACTGCTGCTCGGTTACATTGTCTGCCTACCTTTAAGTCATTTGAAAGAATTACCCCATAATCCCTTTCCTCAGATGTTGAGGTCAGGACTCTCAAATATTCTGTACTCTACCTGTGGGTTTTTACGTCCAAGATGTATTATCTTGCACTTATCCACATTAAATGTCAGTTGCCACAACTCTGACCATTTTTCTGGTCAACTTGTATCTAGGTTAATAACAATCCTGGCGCTTGACAATGTGTGTTTAATCCTTCAATCAAAACACTGTCCTACCTACTAAAACGGAAATGTCTTAGACTGAAGGGCTAAAGTTAAAGAACAACTGCAACCAGATGGAGTGGTCTGGGTGACAATAGTGGTTCTTTAAGGTTTCAAATGAAACATTTTCTGAAATGCTGTGACTATAATCAGGTCATGAAACCCAAACATGTCACATATAGTGTAGGTGCAAAGGCATTATATTACTAAACTTGGTAACAATATTCTGCTTATTTTTATACACAAGGGTGGAACATTGCACTGCATCCATTGATTATGCAAACCTAAAAGGTGCTACTACAATAAATTAGAATAAACTAATCAGGCTTACTCTGTATACAAGGTCAAATTCAAGACTGCAAATTTTACATTTGGTATGTTGGAGTCAATGTTTCAGTCAGGGCAGTTTGGCAATGCACAATTGGAAAATATACTAACAGCCCCCTCCACCACCCCCAAAAACACAAAAACACATGTACTTTACAGGTAATCCATTCTTTAACAGCATAAGGTAGGGTAAGAATGATAAAGAGCTTTGTTTATAAGTAAGTAAGAGAGGGTAAAAAAAAAAAAACAAAAAAAAAAGGAGGAGGAAAGGAGGGAAAAGGGGAAACCAATTAACAATTGGAAGAATAGAAAAGTGTGAGGCATTATAAATCATGTCATGCAATATAAAACTACCGTTTCTTTTTTTTTTTTTTTTAAAGGAAGAAACAGAATTAAAAAAAAATATTTTTAGTGTGCTTTGTTAAGAGGTTTATGAAATATCAGTGTACATGTTCTGTTGGTGACGTTTAACCAAAACTTCGGAAAAAATAATTGTTAGTGTAAATGTCAAAGTTGTCACCGTGACATCCAGACGTGGTTGCCCCAGAAGTACCCAATAGGGGATTTGAACTGTAGACTCTTTCTGCCTTAGTCCTGCTGTCTTGCCTCTGGGCCACACTTCAGTTTTTTTCTGCCTGTGTTTATCCTCACCTTGTCTCCTGCACTGGGGGCTGGGCTTTTTCTGTGGCTGCTCATGTCTATCTAAACCCTACTGAAGCAGATCATTATTAGCTGGGTACTGGGAACTTTGTCAGTTTGTTGTTTTAAGTTTCCTGTTGCTTATAGACTGACTTGGCTTGTGACCCCTGCTTCTGGATTTTCATTATTGCCTGCTCGCTACCTGCCCTGACCTTTGGAACCGTGTCTGACTACTCTTCTGGATTTGCCCTTGTCTGTACTGCGAATTGGAACACCTTTCATGCACAGCCCCCATGCACAGATTCACAGCCCTAGTGGTTTCTAACCTTATCACCTTGGACTGTGTATATCTGCAATGGTGAGCACGCTCCCAACTAAGGTAAGTCCTGACAGAAAATAAAAAATAAAAAAATTGCTTCTGACAAGCACATGAATTGTGTGCCTGATCTCTTCATTGGCTTTTAGCCATGACCCTAAATGCATTCTAATTCAAAGACTAAACGTTGCAAATTGAAAACACCTAAAAGTATACATTTCAGCGCAGCCCTATATACTACATACGTTGGTACTTGCAGCTTCTGTACAGCTCTTACCTGAAGTTTAAGTCTTCTTGTATTATGCAGATAACGGTTATTGATGGATAAACAGGAAAGTATAACAAGTAAAAAAAAAATAATAATTTCTTTATATTTGGTCTAAGCATGCTTCTAGATCAGGCATAGGCAAACTTCGGCACTCCAGATGTTGTGGACTACATCCCCCATAATGCTCTTACACCCATAATGCTGGCTAAGCATCATGGGAGGTGTAGTCCAAAACATCTGCAGCGCTGAAGGTTGCCTATGCCTGTTCTAGATGGTTAATGCTTTGCAAGTCATTCTTGAGCGCTGTAAAGCGATCCTGTAGTTCTTGTTCGAATGCTCGCCACTGGCTGGAAGATGTACATCATATCTATGGAGATCCACAGTAAAGCTACCAGCTACCATAGCAGCATTACCATCACTCTAACCAAGTAAAACCCTGGTCAAACTTGAAAAATCCAATATATATATATATTTTTTTTTTGCAGAATTCATGTGAGCACTTCTTTAACCTATCTGAACGATGTGCCACTGTGTCAAATTGGTAAATGAAGAATTAAGATGTTTGGCAATTGTTTAAAAAAAAAAAAAAAATTCCCACAAGTTATTATACAGATTATGGCGGTCTGAAAAGATGATAAAAATTTATTTAGTAATTGAAATTTAAAGACAAATGTTTCACCTCTTTTTACATTTTCCTCAAGGAACCAGAACAATTGAAGTGGATTTGGTATCCTATGGTGGCCTTTCAGTACAAATAACATGCAATAATAAAACCACTAAAACATGTTACCGTTGGTAATTGTAATTCACTCCCCTCCCCCCCCACCCAAAATAGCCTGGGACAAACAAACATTAAAACACGCACAGTTTGTCACATCATCACTTAACAGGGGACAGTGCAAAAGTAGAACTACTAAATCTCTGTGTATATACCCATTAAACCACCCCAAGGAAAAAGGGGGTAGTAACTGATACAACACAGGGACTTATGTACCGATAAGAGACTCCAGGTATCTCAAAAGGGGCTTAACCCCAAATTGAACAAAAAACAGCAAACCATTCGAAGATGTGAACTAGTCTCAGTATGGAAATAATCCTGAGACCAGTCACATCACCTGGAAATATATATATATAGCGTAATGCAGTGTAATGAAAAAATCTGGCTACCGCATCTCTAGTAAATACTATTAGAGACCAAAAATCCAAATAATCAAAACAAAAGTATATACAGGTGGTACTAATGATTCTATGCCAGCCCCAGAGGGAAGATGTAAATACAAGGTACATAGTAGTTATCCAAACCTAAACATAAGCTTTAATTTTAAATAAATAATATATAATAGAAAAATCAGTCTATAGCAGACTGATAAGTTAAATTATAAAGCCTGCTATAGACTGATTTTTCTATTATATATTTCATATCTCTCCTTAATGTTTCATTGTGTCTTTATCTTTACAATTTCCTGTTTTCCCAAGGAATAGTTTATTTATACTCAAGTCCACACGCAAACTAATTAATTTAGATAGATAGTGCTTGAGTATTACTATCCTTTGGATAGTTGGTTTAAAGGCAGCTATATTTCATGCTTTGTAAAGATCTTAATACTAGACCCTTCCCAGAAGGAATTTATGATTGGAACATAGTTATCTGATATCATTAATCCTTATGTAGCACATTATATTAAAGCTTATGTTTAGGTTTGGGTAACTACTATGTACCTTGTATTTATTTCTTCCCTCTGGGGCTGGCATAGAATCATTAGTACCACCTGTATATACACGTTTGTTTGATTATTTGGATTTTTGGTCTCTAATAGTATTTACTATAGACGTGGTAGCCAGATTTTTTCATTACACTGCATTACGCTATATATATTTTTCCAGGTGATATGACTGGTCTCAGGATTATTTCCATACTGACACTAGTTCACATCTTCGAATTGTTTGCTGTTTTTTGACAGTGCAAAAGTGAATTGCTTTGGGAGTACATTCATGGTCTCTTCCAAACTGAAAGACAGCATAGTTAAAGACGGGAGCATGAGAGCATACAAGCTTTGGAAATCAATGAAAAGTTGGGAGACAGGGTCTCTAGACCACTCCTCTTATGCATGCCATACAGTACAAAGAAAGCGGGGAAAAAATATAATTTTGATTATTGTACAATTTTGTTTCTTGCTTTGGCTTATAAACAATGTAAGGAAAGTTTTGATTAAAAGAATATAATTTTCCAAAGGTGGAGGGGCAATGACGTTAGAATACAAACTTATTTTGCAAAAGAATGACTCATGGTGAACCAGTAGCAGATACAAAAAAACAAACAAAAAGGGTTTTGGTGTCACACACTAACTGCAAAATATCTTGGTTATTCACAAAACACATTATACAAAATATGAACTCGATTTAATAAGCTTTCCCATATGATTCAATACAGTTAGAAAATCAAATGATTTATCTTCAAAAAGTCACATAAATACTTGGGGACTTCTGTACATACATCATATGGAAAGCTTATTAAATTGAGACCCAAGTCTAAAAAGAAAAAGTGAGGCTTAGAGGACCACTATAGTGCCAGGAAACCATACTCGTTTTCCTGGTGCCCCCACCCTCAGGGTCCCCCTCCCACCGGGCTCTAGGGTGAGGAAGGGGTTAAACTTACCTCTTTCTCCAGCGCTGGGCGGGGAGCTCTCCTCTTCCTCGGCTGAATGTGTATCCGCGGCAAGAGACGCGCGCGCGCATTCAGCCAGTCTCATAGGAAAGCATTCACAATGCTTTCTTATGGACGCTGGCGTCTTCTCACTGTGAAAATCACAGTGAGAAGCATGCAAGTGCCTCTAGCGGCTGTCAATGAGACAGCCACTAGAGGCTGGATTAACCCCAATATAAACATAGCAGTTTCTTTGAAACTGCCATGCTTATAGAAAAAAGGGTTAACCCTAGCTGGACCTGGCACCGAGACCACTTCATTGAGCTGAAGTGGTCTGGATGCCTATAGTGGTCCTTTAACCCCTTAAGGACCAAACTTCTAGAATAAAAGGGAATCATGACATGTCACACATGTCATGTGTCCTTAAGGGGTTAATAAACCATTTAAATTTTTTTTATTTTATTTTATTTTTTTTTAACGTGGTCTCCAATGCTATAGCTACAGTGTGGCTATTTCCCCTTCAATTTTGCCCTTTAAAATTACTGGAGTAAAATTTGGTGTTGGAGAATAACCTTACCAATCAAGGCAAGACTTTTAGGCACTTCTGATTATGGGTGGGATAAAATTTACTCAAAAGACAAACAAACAAATTGTCCAGACCATTGGATAAGATTGAAATGTAATTAAAACAGCAAATGAAAGATGTATAACAGTCCAACCAGAACATTTTAAATTTCTACATACATGTTTAATCAGAGATTTTTCTTCATTTAAATAAAAATCCTGGTAAAATCAGTTTTAAATAATGGAAATGTTTGGAGACTGGAAATTTTAACCTAAAATTTACTTTACATGATTCATCTGGGCCATCACTCAACATTAGGAACCACAAGGAAAGGACCTCCATGGGCACTGTAGTAAGGGAGTAGAATATTGTTGAGGGCCAACATTGTGTTCCCAAAGAGCAAAATGGCAAATCTTCCACATCACATCTGGAGGTTCAGCATAAAAGACAACATTCAGATATGTGAGAGCAGAAAAACTTACAAGGGGATGTGTTCAAAATAAAAACAAACCTCTTTAGGTGTTAAATGCCAGAAAGCATTAGGTAAATCAATCATTTCCAGTTTGGCTTGAAAACAGGAGTGCATCATTACTCTATTAGGTACAGATACAGTTAAACCCCTTACAATAACCCTCCAAAATGGGGTACGTGTTTATTCCTTCATGTTCTGCACCAACCCTTGAGGAATTCATGCTGTAGGTGTTTCATTCGTGAGCACATCCTTCAACAAGGTAGGATGCAAAACTAGACAAATGGTGATCGATGGCCACGATGATAATAGATGGCAAAGAAGTGGAGACAGGCAGGGCTGGGAGCGTGTGATTCCACTCCTCTACCTGGTGGTACGAGGCATTAGAGGGATACAGGAATTGAGAGCTAAAGTTCAGCAGCCCCCTGCAGGAGCCACACATGCTCCTTGAGATTTCACTTTATGCCTCTGGCCTCCACGTCGCCTTCCTCCACCTCCTGTTTTGGACTGTAGGAAAGAGAAACAGAGAAGTGATAAGAAGATTTGAGAACCAGTAAAAAAAAAAAAAAAAATCCAGTTTGTTTAAAGCAGGACTTGTGATCTTCCTTATAAAATGTGGACTCTGCCATGCTGGTGACAGAAGACTAAGTAATACTATCTTCCCCGTGAAGAATGTACATACTAACATGAAGTGGCATCATCATTCCCCAATGGCAATCTCTTGGTAGCCCTTCAATATCATGCAAGCAGATCACTCTCAATCGACATTAAAACTAATCCGCTTTATAAAGGTGCATGCAATTGCAACCATATGCGTCTGTGTTTCTTCCCTGTTACCAAACCCATTTGTTTCCCCACGATGATAGCCCTACTAGGACCTGCCATATGCTCTGTAACAATGGAAATCTATAAACATTTTACACATCCAGGACACAAAGTAATCATAAACTACTCTTATCATAATCTGAATGAAGACATAGCCCAGCTTTACTTGCATCCACTACACTATACAAATGCAAATATATATAGGAAAAGGTATTGCATTTGTCCAAGAAGAAATCAGTTGATTGACAGGGTGACTCTGGCATCTCTGACAGTCATTCACTCTACATACATAACAAGGGGATGGCAGCCTAGACTATGGATTTCCCAGATCTTCACCCCAGAGGTAATAAACACAGCAATGTAATCTAATGAATATCGGCATGCAGTCACCATTACAATACTCCATAGGAATATGGCCTTGTAATCCAAAGTGGGTTTATCTACCGAGTGCCTAAAGTGTTCAAAGGAGAGCGCATTTCACTTTCATTGCCTATGGAAGTGCCTGCCCATTATACCCCTATAGGAAAAAGTACATCAGTTTGTAACAAGGATATTGCAATGCCGCTCTCAATGAACTCCTTTGTAACCATGTTTGGCTTATTTTGATTAAAGGTTTGAAAACCTTCCATAAAAATAAAGAAGTTGGTAAAGATTGTGTTGCTTTAAGTCAATATATGAGCGAAAAAAAAAAAAAAACACACACAAAACACACACCACTAGACATTTTAAAACATAAGTAGTTTTTACTGAACAATGAGCATTATAGGCTAAACTGCAAGTGTATACATTTTCTTTAGTTTTACCTGTGCTTGCACTGGAGTAGCTCCTGCTGTTGATGCAACAGAAGTGGTAGGAGAAGCCTCCTCCACCAAGGCTGCTCCCGGGCTCTGTTCTTCTTTCTTCCCAAGCGGGCTCTTTTTGGTAGACTGCATCTTGACTTGCTGTGGTTTAGAGTTCATTGGCTGATTGTTTGTGCTTTGTAACAACTGCATAAAAATGAGTAGAAAACAAATAAACTGTCTAAAAACCCATCTGAATATCTGACACTCACCCACACCACATCCAAGCAGCACAATGCATTTTCAGAAAACAATAGAGAATACTCAAAAAAGGGATAATAATATTTGCCCATTAAGGCTTACAGTAGTTCACATGAGATAAAAAAAGAACCTTGTGAGATGTTGCACATTCCTTAACAAGAGTTAACCCCGTAAGGATGGAGGCAATTGTCTAAACTCTGAACCAAAACAAAACCTAGAATTTAGGCTATAGGTTTGTTAAACCATAATTTACCTCTTTCATATTAAATTGTACACACTTTTTGTAATTTGACAAGTGCTCAATTAAGAGCCTAATATTGTGTAGCCTGTCCTACTGGGGTGCAGTTCAAAGCGGGCACTGAAATAGAGGATACGAAGAAGCTGTTAATGCCTGTTCCTCTTCATAATCCCAAGGGAAGCTAGGATGGGATGTGTATGCCAGTAACTCCTAATTCTGAACATTCACACAATCCCCATAACCAGCATCAGGGTCCAAAATCTTAATTTCAGTGTGGTCAGTGGGGTGCTGAATTTTGCTCCTGCTGTAGTGAGATTCGGGATTGGCAGCAAGATATTGGCTACAATACGAAATTAATTTGTGCAGCAATAAACTCAAATTATGCCATTTGTCATAAACAGATTAAAATCATTTTCTGTCTCACGAATGTCAACTCTTGTTGTGATGCCAGAGATTGGGGGGATTTCAGAGTCACTTAAAGGAACACTATAGTTACCTAAACAACTTTAGCTTAATGAAGCAGTTTTAGTGTATAGATCATGCTTACACTGCTCAATTCACTGCCATTTGGGAGTTAAATCACTTTGTTTCTGTTTATGCAGCCCTGACTCTGATTGACACAGTCTGAATGAAAAAAACAAACTGGTTTCACTTTCAATCAGATGTAATTTCCCTTAAACAATTGTATCTTTTTCTCTGTCAATTGAACTTTAAACCACATACAGGAGGCTCTTGTAGGGTCTAGCAAACTATTAACATAGCAGGGGATAAGAAAATCTAAATTAAACAGAACTTGCAAAAAAGGAAGGATTAACTTTAGATGACTCTTTACAGGAAGTGTTTAGGAAGGCTGTGCAAGTCACATGCAGGGAGGTGTGACTAGGGTTCATAAATAAAGTGATTTAACTCCTAAATGGCAGAATTGAGCCGTGAGACAACAGGGACATGATCTATACACCAAAACTGCTTCATTAAGACAAAGTGGTTTTGGTGACTATAGTGTCCCTTTAAATTTGGTGGTGCCCAGTTACGCTCAGACACACAGTGTAGTGTTCTGAGAGCCTCATGATAGATGGTGTTCCGATGGGAGCACCATCACCAGAAGGCTCACTTAGTGCTCTACATCTGACACAGTAAATGTGTCGCTGTCATATATGTCAAAGGAGTCACTTTTCTCAGACGTCAGCATGGTACAAGCATTTTTATACCATAACGTGGTAAAATCCCATGCCGTTCCGGATGTAATGACACGTCCCAACTGCGGTAACGGGTCAATGGCCAAACAAATGCAGCAGGATGGTATAGCCAGATTTGTTCACAATATGATCAGTATGTTCCACTATAGTGATTAAATAAAAATAGGTAGTAATACTACCAGTAGTACAAGAAAAATAAATAAAGTGTTCAAAACAGTAATTGATTAAAAGCAAATTTGTTATTCCCCCTATCTAGATTTTATAGAAGAGGAAGGGGTGGGATTTTTTTCAATTTTTTTTAATCCTTTTTACATTTTATCCTTATGGAAAACAAAAAATAGAATAGTATTCATAAAAAAAAACTATAATCACCTAAACAGCAACAAGAACTTCAACAACACGAAACCTCCACACCCACCACTCCCCCACCCCCCTAAAACAAATGAATGACATTGACAATTGTTCCACCACGATCTACCTTAATTTAAAGGATATAGTAGGTATAGGAGTTTCTGTTTATTAGTTACAGACAATGTTTTAAGCTATTTCTCAAAACTTCAGTAAAAATTGTATCAATTAAAAAGCATAAAGAAGTTAAAAAATATATTTTTTTATGAAAAACAAAATAGGCAAACTACTTTCAAAACTCATCCAAAACACAGATCCAGAAACGCTTACCTTTGTTATAGTGCCCACAGCTTTTGTACGGCCTTCTCTGAACACCAGCCTCTGATCTATGTGCAAATACTCTGGTGTTTTGATGAAACGGAAGTGAACTGTAGCTTTGTCTCCAGTACGCAGACAGTCACGACTCATGCTCAAGATGGTCGCAGTTTGTCTAATACTGCCACAATGAACTAAAGAAAAACAAAAAACATTTGAAATAAATAAATGGATTATATAATAAACACACACTTAAAATTCTTAAAAGTCCTAAGCATGTGTCCATGGCACTTACCACAGGTGAATTTTTCATTCATCAATGATTAGTGGAGATTTTGTGCCCTGACAATGGCATTTTCATTTTTATTGTATAGTTTTAGATTTCTATGAAACAGGTTAGGAATTTAAAGGCATAATACAGATGAAAGAGAAGACCAAAAAGTATACTTCTGTAAGCTGCCGAATATCACAGCTGGCTACAAACACAGACTGTTAGCCTTACAAAGTCAATAAACTATTTGTGTTTATTTTAAACTTTTCCATTGCAATTTTTTCTCTCTCACTGATCCCAATTGCTGCTCCTTCTAAGCAGTTCAGGATGGGAAAGAGATCTAAAAAGCGCATATTGCGACCATGTCAGGAGATTTCCTGCGGCAGTCTCAAAAGGTACATGCTTGCTAAGATGGAGCCAAAAGAGGCCTACTCCTTGGCATCTTCGAAGGATGACAGCCTAAGTGACAATCTACAAGCCTTATTTCAAGTGCCAGACTCCTCAAACAGCCCTTCTGTGCGAACGGATAATGTTCCATCTACCAAAAGCATACATAAAAGACTTTGTGCATCATTCCATCTTGTCATTCAATTGCTTAGAGTGCATGAAATTTCTTACAAGTGGGGCTCTCGTCAACTGCTGGAAAAAAAGCGACAAACATATCCACTCTCTCTCTAAACTATCTATCACACGTGCTCTTAACGGTTTGCTGAAACTGCGAGTGGAGTCTATACCAACTATAAAAACGTTCTAAATAGGACAACTGATTAGAGTAAGCCATTAGTGTCAGGAGGGATTCCATCTGGGAAGGATGAGCCCCAGCTGAAAAATTACGGATCTCTCTCATGGCTCATTTTGTTATAATGTTTAGATGTGTGTTTTTTTTGATTTGCTTGTTCTGGCTCTGTAGGCTACTGTTCTCTATGTAACATCTTAAATCGATCTTACCTTTACTAAACATGCCCCTCCCTTTTTAAGTGGGTTTCATTATATAAACACACGGATATAACAGATTATGTCCTCTAATATTCTCTCGCTTTTAAAAACAAAGTTTCATCAAGATATTGGAGGATCTAATTACATTAAAAAAAAAAAAAAAACTTACAAAAACACTTTATTTTGTAAAGTATCTAATTTGTGAAGCTTTGTCCATTTGTTCTTGAAATTGTGTATTATATGTAATTCTCTTGCGTGCAAAAGTAATAAAATAAATAGCACACTTTTTTACTCTTGCACCAAAATACTGAAAAAACCCTACATAAAAATGCATCAACATGTTTCCCTGGGTTTTGATTTTATGCAGTTGATATTGTTCTAATCTTTGATTTTGCATTACAATGCCCATAAATACAATGAACTACTGCCCCCGAATCTTTTAACAGCTAGACACAGAGGCAGAATAATTACCCATGGCCTGGTAACGAGGGCTGATTGTAGTAGGATGGTGCAACACAAGAATCTCTGCTTCAAACTCCCATGAAGCTTGTGGGTTAAGTCGTGGGGAAACCATTACCATTCCTTTTCTGATAGAGGAGCGTTTAATCTGGGGGAAGAGAATCATATAAACAAGATAAAATTAAAAGTTACAAAGTAGACTGAATTATTGGATAACTTTCACAAAAATGTATACTGGAAGGCATTGATGGGTATTACGTAATAAATGCAGCCAGTTGAAAGTTACAAATATGATAAAATATACAGTGGTACCTCGGTTTACAAACGCCTCGGTTAACATAATTTTCAGGTATACAAATGAAAATACATTGAAAATAATGCCTCGGTTTACGAATTTGTTTTGCAATACGAAGCAAGTTTCCCCAGGATGCATTGTGCCTGGGAGGTTTATAGCTCCGCACGCATGAGTGCTGGAGTCTGTGCACATGAGAGTGTGGAGGTGTTGCAGCGGTTTTTGCATCGAGTTATGGAGCCATTCTGGAAAATTTTTGCAGCTGTTTTGGAACTTATTGGTGCATTTCTCAAGTGGTGGAAAGGTAGGGAGCTGAACTTTGTTTTTTGTATGCGTTTTACTGTGTGTTCTGCATTGTGGGTTGGTTTCCATGCCAGCTCATTTTGACTTTTTTCTGATCTCCGGAACGGATTTATTAGTTTTCAATGTATTCCTATGGGAAACCACGTTTCGGTTTATAAATTTTTCGCAATACAAAGGTCACGGAGAATGCATTAAATTTGTAAACAGAGGTACCAATGTACAATAAAATGATCCATTTGCAATTTATACAACTTCTAATGGAAACAACAAGCTTTATAAAAAGAGAATTCCAATTTTAAGCCTTCTATATCACCAGCAGAGTCTATGATAAAATGACAATATAGTAAGCATAAAATAAACATTAACACTTAAATATTTAGCTTAGGGTTAATTAAATATAATGTTTAACAATGTCCTTACCTTTTTCAACGCAAAAGATGCAGTCTGTCCACCTCGAACCTCCTTAACTGGCATTCGTTTGCGGTGAATGGACTTTACTGCAATGGAAGTGAAGCTGCCAAGTGGGTCAGGTCCTAGAAGCAGGAGGTCATTTAACTTTATTAGACCTCTCAGCGTTGTTCCAGAAACAACTGTGCCCACACCCTGCAGGGAGAGAAAAACAAACAAGCTTAAGGATATGGAGGTAACTTTCATCAAGTAAGTCAGACTGAACATCTCATGTTGGGACAGTAAAATGAATAACCCCCTCCCCAGCAAAATATAATAAAATAAATATTTTTTTCTGGGTGTTTATAGGACCAGGTTTGATCTAGTGGTAGTCTGTATGATTTTTTTTTTTGATTTTTTTTTAAATGCATACCGGCACAGAGTAGGTATCGTCAATCTGAAATTCAGCTGGTTCCTCCTCTCGTGAGCTGCTGCGAGGAGAAAGAAGATTCAGAAACATCTTCAGAAGATCCAGGTTTTCCCCTGTAACATTTGAGATCTGGAAGATCGGACACATCCTGTGCAAAGAGAAAAAGAAAAAAGGTTAATAGAGAAATGCAGAATGTTGCTATAGTTAACGGGATTATCTATATTCCAGTCTCACAGCCTCACGCATACAAGACAGGATATCCATCAATGTATGTTTGACTAAAGGAACACTGAACTCCAGTTCTAAAACAGGACCACAAACACAACAGGTTTCTAAACACACAAAAGCTGACAGGACAGTAGCCTCATGAACAGAGTTGGGCACACATTGTTCAAAGATTGTTTTCTCTCGACATTAAGATTATTGTAAGCAACAGATTACTACAGATTTAGAATGTCATCCGTAAAATAAGTTTGTTAAATGACAATGTATAACTTTGCAGGCAAGAAAACATTACCTGCACATTAGGTAACTGTATAGAAACAATTTATTTCAATGCTGACTTTAGTAGTTATTTGTATGGCCAATCCGTTATAAAAGGCAGGTAGATACATGTTTCTACCATATTTATTGCATTTGTGCCACAGTTGCCCAACTTTGTTATAATACTGGAGATCACAAGGGACAAAGCAAAAGTCCATAATTGTAAGGTTGTTTGGGCAGGACCCTCTTCGCCTACTGTTCCCATACATCTTACATGTTTAATTAATATTCATTGTTTATCCAATTTACCTATTGCACAGCGCTACAGAACATGTCAGTGCTACATAAGATAATTGTAATTAATATACGGCTCTAAAAAAAAAATACACTCAAAATTAATTAAGGAGTATTGCTAAAAACCATACAAAAGAAGTAGGTGTTAGAAAGGGACTTTTTAAATAATGCAACATTAGCAACTGGACACCGGGTCAAAATGGTTTGCCAATAATGACATGACAATAATAGCTATTCTGCAGCCTTGATGTCCTGTGATTACACTGAATGAGGACCTTGTTGCATACCTTTTGGTTGGCACATTTAGTAATGGTTTCAAAAACAGCAAGAGAGCAGTGAAGAATAAGTCAGAAATGTTAGTGCCACATGGTACAGAAATTTGAGTTAAAGTTTTACCGTCTTTAGTAGTGATCTGTAACATAAAACCATTTTAAAAGTGAGGAGCTGAGAGTTTCATATTGTTTTAAATTAATTGGCTTACACTCAGCAAGTTAGATAGGTTGATGTTAATAGGACAAGAGGGCATTTATTGGGTAAGTGGAACTGCATTACAGAGTTGAGTGTTACACTTTCCTGAACAAAAATGTCTTTAGGAAAAGTTTAAAGGAAGACAGACTAGGAGAGTTTGACTATGCGGGGAAAAGTGTTTTAGTGGGTTGGCGTTTCACAAGAGGAAACAAATCAGTCCAGCATGAGAAAAGTAGATGTAAGGAGCATTAAAGCCCACATAATTATTACAGCACAGGATATCAAGAGCTGGAAAGAAGTTAAGTGGCAAGAAAGAGATTCCAAATACCTCTCAGAACTAAAGTTGGAAGCAGTGACAATCACGTCATCTTTATTCTGTACCAATACTGGGATTTTCCTACAACCTGGAGATTTCAGCAGCCTCTGCAACAGCTTTAATGTTTCTGCAGATGAAAAAACCCAAGAGGAATACTTTATTTATCTGCAATTAAATTTGTTTTCAATTCAGATAGATATATGGAGTAAAATGAATTTATAAGTAAAATTTATTTATTTACACTTTTTTAGCTTTTTTTTAGGTTAATGTTGGAACAAACACAAGTAATGCTTGTATCAATTTTTGTGCCACTGCCTCCTCCAATGTGAGAGAACACCTGTCTTCCAAAGGTACCCCTTTTTTGGGAACGTATAATGATCAAGTACTTGGGAAGGGTAAAAATAAATGTACGTGCTCCATCGTGGCCATATTGGAACTTTTTATCTCAATGCCATTGGCAATTATTGGCACAGAAATATTAACTACAGAAAAACAGATTGCCAAGTGTAGCAACACCTTTGCCTGCAAGGTCCTTAGCTCATCAAATAAATACATTGTTTTACCTTTAAAATAATATGGCATATTTGCAGGTCACTTGCAGCCAAGACATTTGTTAATGGACCAGATGGTTCATGGAACAATTCCATCAATCCAAAATACTTCTTAAACATAACTTCTACTGAAATAAGTCAAATTTAAATTAAAGAATTGGAAAAACAAAACAAAAAATATAATTGAGCAGGTCTCTATGCAGCAGCTCACCTTGCAGTATATTCGCTGGACACATATCTATTTTTGTTACAACAACAAAGACAGGAACATTTAGTGCCAGTGCTAGGCCCAGATGTTCCTTGGTCATTCCCACTATACCAGCATTGCTGCCCACCTAGAAAAGAAAAGGAAAACCCTTATATATTATAGTATTTTGCAACTTTTGTCAGAACATTATTTTATTGGCACTATCCTGCAATTGTTTCTTAGATTACAGTCTATTTTTACATTTTCTATTAAACAAAATGGCAAAGATCTTTCATAGAATAATTTCAAATCTTAAGTGGAAGTGTTTGATTAGTGATTTGATCACTTAGAACACCGTCCACTGGAAACTGGATGATTGACCAGTATATATGTTCAAAGGTGATACGTTAAAAACAAAACAAAAAAAAAACAACCTGTTTTTGTATGTGAAATATAAACAAAAGCTATGTGTGCACATTTTGGATTGAAACACCAATTAAGGAACACTCTTAGCACCATAACCACTAGTTGTTGTGGTTATGGTGCAAGGAGTGCCCTGGCTCCTCTCCTCATTGTAAGTAGTCAAACTTTTTTGGCTTCTTATCTGGGGTCCGCTGCGCACTGCTCTCCACCTTCACTACGAAAACTGTAGAGCTGAAATTTCCTGAGCTTAGTTCTGCAGTGTCAGTTGATCGATCTCACCGTTCTAGTTGCTGCAAGCATGAATCAAGGCTGCATGCTCCCTGGAAATGTTGAGGTTTAATTCCCAACTAAATTGTGCACATTCCTTACTTTGTTCCAATTATGTAATAAACAAAAATAATCGCTTATGTGCAGACACGGCACAACACCACATCTCACCATAAGCATGCAGAAGTCAGGCAGGTGGCCGGTCATTCCAAACACTGTGGTCTTCAGGTATTTCTCATGGCCAGCCAAGTCAATAAAAGTGATAATTTTAGATGACTTCTCACAGATCTTGGTCCACTCCAAACTTCCTCCGTGGCTGTCAGGCTTATTAACCACTTGACCATGGCTGTCAAAACCAAGGATGTCATTTCCTACACTACTGGTGCGACCTGATTCAATCTCATGCTTATGACGGAAGAGTTTTTGTCTAGCAAAGCCACGTCCATTGTCCAACTCTCCATGGGTCAGGACACCTAGCAGCGTGCTCTTCCCTGCGTCCACATTGCCAACAACTGCAACTCTAGAGAAGGGGGTAGGAGGATAAATAGAAAAAAATAATAAAAATGGAGATTAACATTTTGTTTTGTAAGTAGCAGGTTTGCAACACAGCCAAACATGAGAGAGAAATTTTGTTCTAAATTGAAATCTCACTATTTTCATAGTAAAAATATTCTTGTCTGAAGGCAAGAAGCCACGATTTTGTCATAAAAACACGAGTGCCATAATTTAAGTAAGTTTGTGTACAGGAAGCAGCATCTCCACAGTCTTTCATCACTGTCTGCTATAAAATTATGATGCACTGCTCAGGGCTCCATTATTACAATAGTGTGCTTCCTGATATATAACATTTTACAGTATGTGTTGCTTTTTTAACTTATCTTTAAATTCAAATACATTTACATTTTCAAATACAGACACTGCCTCGTGCCTTGGCAGTCAGCCTTTATGACAGTATTTACATTTGCCTTTGTATAGAAGATTATTTCAGAAAGGGCACACCTGTACTATTAGATTTCTTAAAAGACTACTCCCATCCTTAGGTGAGTGGGGTGACGGGATGGGACGGACAGTCCTTTTTTGGTGTAAAAAGCTCTATTTGGCACTATGCAAAAAGCCCCTTACCCCTCCCACTAGCAGAATAGGCTACAAAAGAAGGAGTTTTACTTACCTTGAATCAAGTTCCTGGCAATGACTGCTACGCCGTCTGACGTTACATGTGCTTTGTGCAGTCCAATCACTGGACTCTCATAGATAAGCCCAAGATTGGATATTTTTACCGGCTCAGAACGCATGGATTGGTGGGTGGGGGCTTTTATTTATAAAACAAAATAAAAAATTTAAAAAGTGTGCAATGGAAGAAGCACCCAGTGACTGGGAGGGAATAGATTAACACTTCTGTTGACAGCACACTGAAGAAAGATTTTTTTTTATTTTTTTATAATGCAAAGAATTGACATTTGAGGCCCAGAATAGAGTTGTCACGGGTGCAACTTTCCCCAGCACACAATTAAAAATATCTTCTTACGTGCAGTGTTTCAAACCAAACCACTGTAAATACATACACCTACCACCTTGATTACTTCAATTCAGTTGGAGTAAACCTTTAATTATAATACCTCTTAACTAAGGAGTGAATTGTCAGGAATTCAACATGAATTTCAAATTTTAGGCTAAAATAGAAAAACCAAAAACATAACTAAGAATATTTCAAATGTGTCTATTGTGGCCTCAAATGTGAGAAAAGCACAGAACCATTGAACTCCTGATAGTTCACACATTGGCGAATAACTAAACACTTCCTACACTGGAAATTTCAGAGGCCAAAACCCGAACGGAATACTTTTTCATAATTCTTTGAAGCCCAAAATCAAAGTTAAGGTAAATCCTGCTAGACGCTTAGAAGGATTTATTAGAATGTGACCTGTGAGTGGATGTTAGTTTAGTACCATTTATTAGCTTGAGACACAGCATCAAGGTACAAAATATACACTCAAATGTCCAATTTGGACCTCTTGGATAAATTGGACTGATTTAGTGTCAACATTTTTAATTCAAAATAAACACAATTTATGTATGGCTTTATAAGCTAGGGAAAACACAGCTGCTAAATGAATTAGGGATCTGTGTTTCGAATGGTTTCGGGAGTGGTCCAGCATTGTAACAGCTAAGGTATCTATTACAGCCGTATCATTACATCAGCATGGGAACACACAGGTATTCAACTTAAACATAAGGCTGTGGTTGTTATACAGATTGCTTCGATTGTTTCTATGTTGGACCACTAACAAAATCTGCTTAGGATAAGCACTAATGGATACGGCACTGTAACGATTGAGGATTAAAGCATGTAGAACAGATCTGTTATGAAAAGCTGTGATCTGTCAGCAGAGACAAGGAAGTTTACACGGAGAAATTCATGCTGCTTCGCAAGAAGTGTTCTTACCGGACTTCCAGGAAGTCATTATCACCGACCCTCTTGCGCACCAGGTAGTCCTGTACTTTGCCTCCAGCCTCTTGGTGCTCTCGCAGCTGGATCATGTCAGCACCAATCTGCTCTGCCATACTGGTTACTGTAGCAACCGATGCATCCATGTCTGCCTCATTAAGTCCATATTCTGTACCATCTGTAAAAAATAAAAAAAATTTAACTTAAAATAATACATTCAAAATTAGTTACATGCTTCATGTACTTATTTAAGCAAATTTTAGAAAAGCACATGCCCTAGATGCATTTTAAGTCAGAGACTAACTTTGAGCAATGCTTTCCTACGGGGAGGTCTAACGAGCGAGGCCATTGCCGAGCATTAGGTCTGCCCCGCCGGCTGACGTCGACAGGAGAGGAGCGTGGGCGTAGCCTGACCCAGCATCGAGGGACACTGGCGCTGGATTCAGGTAAGTGGCTGAAGGGGTTTTTAATCCCTTAAACCGTGCGGGAGGGAACACACACACACACACCTATTAACTCACTATAGGATCCCTTTAACATTCTTTCCATTATCAACTGGAAATTAAGTAGTTTTCTAAACTAGGGCCAAGATGGGGATTCTGAAGATTTTCAATTTCTGGCCATTACAATTTTTGTTGCGCTCATACAATGTATAAAAGAGAAATACATTTTTTGCAAAGGAGGGAGTTTTAGATGGAGTAGAGCAGCACTTAGTGATTTTGAAATTACAACATTTGATAATAGCTTAAAATAATCAAAAAAGTCCTTTTCCATACTGGTGATATTATTTCATAGCCCCACCACATATGGATGTGACGGACACAGCCTGCACTAAAGCAGGTTTCATGTTCAAGCAGGTGTAATTTGCATCTCTACTACTCTACTCTGTAAATTGAACTTTAATTACTTATACAGGAGGCTACTGCAGGGTCCAGCAAGCTATTAACAGAGCAGGATATAAAGAAAATCTAAATTAAACAGTATCTGCAATAAAGGAAGAGAAGACAGTAGATGACTCTTTACAGGAAGTGTTTAGAAAGGCTTTGTAAGTCATATGCAGGAAGGTATGACTAGGGCTGCATAAATAAAGTGATTTAACTTCTAAATGGCAGAGAATTGAGCACTGAGACTGCAGGGGCATGATCTATACACCAAAATTGCTTCATTAGCCTCTTAAGGACACAGCTTCAAAAGCTTGTCTTACCCTTAAGGACACAAGCCATTTTTGCATTTTTTGCTGTGTGTGTTCAAACGCAATTTGCATCTCTGTCATTTATTGCACCAACACATATTATATACCATTTTTTCAGAGGACAAACAAGGCTTTAATTTTATGTCACATATACATAGATATATTCTCATTAATTATAAAAAAAAAAAGCGCCACAAAATGGAAAAAAAAAATGAAAAAATTTTTTTCCACAGTTTTGGCAATAATAGCGTTTGCATAATATGTCCAGTTTATAAAAAGTAATTCAAAATAAATTCATTTACGTGTCTTGATTTATAGAATACATAATATGTATAGGATTTCAGCTTATTTTGAAAGTCACAGGTCCCATAATATAAGGACTAAAATAAAATTTTAGAAGTTGGTATGTTTGTTTGTCTTGTAGGTTTAGTAGCCACCACAGAAAAATTTTTTTTTTATATAAAGTAGACATCACAGGCTATTTACCTAAGGTTAGTTTGACACTTTTTACGTAACCATTTCATCGTCAATCTCTGCTAAATATTGGAGTAAAATTGTGTTTTTTTTCTCTATTTTGGCATATTCAAATATAACAAAGTTTTTGTAATGTGTATTTCCTAAAGCTGTGTGCTATTCCTGCACAGAACCCCATATGGTGTTCAGCTACATCTGCTGAGTATCACGATACCCCCATTGTATACCTTTGGCACTTTTCTGTAAAGCTACAATGCCATATAAGAGACAAGGCTATTACAGTTTCTATAGTTAGAATTTTCCAAGATGGATTTGACGGGCCTATATCTCATTTTAGGGTATTATAGCAGTGTGGCTGTTCAAATAACCCCACAAAGGGCTTTCATTTGATAAAGCAGACACCCCAGGGTATCTATTATGGTGTATATTGTGCCTTAACTTGTCACCATTTGTTCGCCAATTTATGTCAAGGTTTGGGGTGAGGGAGGAAAAATTGAATTTTTACATATATGTTGCATTTTTGCTGAGTAGATCTTGCATTTGATATGTACCACTGTCATAAAAATCCACAAATTATGCTCAGTTACATCTTCTGTGTAAAACAATATGCCCAAATGTATGACCTAGACACTATTTTGTGACGTTACACTGCTGTAAAAGAGACGTGACAAGTTCAGGTTTTTAAGTGTGAATTTTCATGGAGGGTTTTGATGCGTCCATGTCCCACTTTAGAGCACTTGAGCAGGCTACATATTACAACTACACCATAAAGGCATACCATTTCTTTCAAAAAGACATCCCAGGGCAATTTAAAAGGCATATTTTGAACCTTAGCGTGGGATAATTTTTCTGCTAGCTTGTACCAAGTGTAGTGGTAATAAGCATTTTTTTCTGCCTTTTTGACACACAAAGTGAGTTTATATTTTGCAAACCTTATGTGTGCTACGACTGTATAATACTTCATATGTTGCTCAGCTATGTCAGCCAAGTACAGCAATACCCCCGTATGTACCTTTGCCAGGTATATGTGGATGTTGACAGGGCACATTTGAGATGCAGCCAGTTTTTTTTCTAACTTTGAAGTTTTACGCTGTGTCCATGTTCCATTTTGGAGTAGATTAGATGGCTGGTTATTCAAACTCCCCCACAAACACATACTATTTATTAAAGAATACACCACGGGGTAATTCAAAAGGCATATTGTGAACATTAGTGTGGGATCATTTTTTCGCTAGTATGTTCCAAGTGTAGTGGTAATGAGCATTTTTTTATGCATTTTTTTACTTTGTAAAACTTGTTTTGAATTTTTTTTTTTTTATACTTATTAAAGGACCACTATAGGCACCCAGACCATTTCAGCTTAATGAAGTGGTCTGGGTGCCAGGTCCCTCTAGGATTAACCCTTTTTGCTGTAAACATAGCAGTGTCAGAGAAACTGCTATGTTTACAAATGGGTTAATCCAGCCTCTAGTGGCTGTCTCATGCTCTTGCCGCGCATGCGCATTCAGTCGGTGGCGGCAGAAAGAGGAGGAGAATCCCCAGCGCCGAGGGAGCCCGGTGCTGGAAAAAGGTAAGATTTTAACTCCTTCCTCACCCTAGAGCCCGACGGGAGGGGGGCCCAGAGGGTGGGGGCAACCTCAGGGCACTATAGTGGTCCTTTAAATGTTTTAAACTTTCTTAACTTTTTTTACACTTAAAAATTTTTTAGAAACTTTTCCTTTACCGTTAACCCCTAACTAGCAGTAAGCAGCACTAACAGTAAATGCCCCACTTTCCCATAACTCCCACCCACCCCAGCTAGCAAAATATATAATTATAAAATATTTAAATTAAATTGAACCCCGGAGGGTTTAAAAAAAAAAAAAAATGAATAAAAGTTCATCCTCAGGGGTTAAAAAAAAAAAAAAAAAAAAAAAAAGGTTAGATCACAGTATAATACTGTGATCTGTATTTTGATCACTGTAGGCAGTGATCAACTGCCAGGGAAGGGGTTAATTTTTATTTGGACTGGGCAAACAGGGGGGGTGGTATTTTTTTTTAACTTAAACGTTACAAAAAAACCCCCCAAAAAACGACTTTTTAAAGCTTATTTTAAAACTTTAACGTTAACCCCTAGTTAGCCTAACACCAAACCCCCCAATTCCCCACTAACCTCAACCTATCCAAGCTAGCTAAATATATAATTTCTAAATATTTAAAATTAATAAAATAAATTTAACCCCTTAATAAAATAAATTTAACCTCAGATGACAGTAAAATGTAATCCCTGCCAATTGATCACTCTAGTCACTGATCAATTGGCAGGGAAGGGGTTAATTTTATTAAAGCAGGGGAAAGGGGGGTGTGTGGGATTTATCATTATTTAAATTCTTTATAAATTTTTTTACAGGGAGAAGAGGATCAGCACTGACCCATCTCCCTGCACTTCACAGTGAACCCAGAAGCGCAGGGAGGCTGATCGTGAGTCCCTGCAGCCCATGTCCTCCGGTGCTCCCAGTCTGCCACGGATACCGAGGCAGACCAGTTGAGCGTTAACCCCGCGACTGCGGGACGGGGTTAAGCTAAATTTGGTTTGGTGACTATAGTGTACCTTTAAGTTACACATACTATTTGGCAGGCTTCCCCAAACTCCAGCCCTCCAGATGTTGTTGAACTACAACTCCCATGATTCTCAGCCTATTTTACTTCATTCATAGAATCATGGGAGTTAGTTCAGCAACATCGGGAGGGCCGGAGTTTTAAGAAGCCTGCTATACGGGCACATTAGAAGGAACTCACTGAAGTTCTTTTGGAGTTAAAAGAGCACCTCTTATTTCATACCTTATCAATATATCACTCTCTCACCTCTCAGACAGCCTGGAGGATGATCTTCGTAATCAATTTCTGCTCCAGCAGAAAAGCAATACTTCTAATAGAGAAGCCTTGGATTCAAGGCATTGCAGGATCAGCATGGCAATTGCCGTGCATGCTCTCTGCATCCCAAGGCTTCTTAATTAGAAACAGTCTATTGGTAAAAAGTCCTTCAAGTGGCCTGAACTGCAAAGGTTTGTTTGAAAAAATAAAAAAATAAAAAAAACAAACAACAAAATTACAAAACCACACATTCGGAATGCTAGAGTATTCCTTTAATCTAGACAGTAAAACTGTTGAACTATAAAAAGATTGTTACTCCCTACTGGTCAGGAAGCCCATGAAATACATTAGGGCAGGGTGTGCTTGAAGAAAAATTTACAGATGTTGTAAAACTGAAAATCTCATTATGTTTTGCCATTCTAAAGACTGGCAAAGCATCAAGGGATTTGCAGTTCTAAAATCTGGAGATCTACATTTTGAGCCCCCTGCTCTAAAGCACGCCTGAAGCATCATTCTGAAAGAGCGTGAGTGCAGCTGGCATTTTTCCCCCCGTCATTATGCTGCGGACAAGACAAAAAAATGTAAAACAGTTTTAAGATGCAAATTTGTACCAATATTTGCAAATGACAGTCCAGCAAAATGGCAAAGTACAGAAACGTAAGCATGATGCAAACATGGATTTGTAAAGCTATTTAATGAACAATATTAAACATTTTCCTACATTGCAAAAGTCATTTAAAATATTATTTCAACCAATCTAATTATCCGGCCTAAATAGCATCATGACTCATTCTTCAATATAGCCACATGATTGTGAGTGTAAGGTATGACTTAAAATATATTACCCTTTGACAGGTTGTATAGGTGTGGGCTCAAATGGGTTTTAATAGGGACGAGGGGAGGTGGGGGGGGGAGGGGGGAGATTATGGATCATAATTTCCACTCACAAGTGAAAACGTAGCACTTGTAAATATAAATACACAATCATAGTCATAACATAGGAGAAAAGCCGCAGTAGCGCCTGGTATCTACCAAATGTAATATAGAATATATTTATTACTTTTCTCTCCCCTAATAGCCCCAGTAACTGCCTGAGGACTGAAACTAGGTACGTGAAAGGGTGACTAGGAGGGGGACATTTCTGACACAGAGCACAGTGTTTTAATAAATCCCACTGCACAGACCCACCATCAGTACTCAATCACTCTACAGCCGAGACCTGGGACACTCATACTGTGGCTAGTTGAAAAGTTGTGAAGCTTTAACTGCAGGACTGAGGCTGATCTGATTCCAATCTGTAATAACTGTTGATTCAGTTAACCATCTCAGCTACTTCATGGCTCCATATTACCAATGTAGATTAATTATATAGCCAGCTGCAAAGGTAATAAGGAGTCTATAAGTATATTGTGGCTTTAACCCTGTACGCTGCGAGCTAATGGAGTAGCCAATATGTTTCATAACTGCAGTAATATTTAATAGAAATCCAAGTTTATCATAGCAGGGGCATTACTGAAGAGGAGATCATGTAAGGGAGGGCAAAGAGAAGGCTAGGAAGATAGCGTGAGATAAGATATCTTCACATGTACTGTGTGGGTATCTCTGTATTGCAGAACTGTGTAATCCTGGCTGTGAGGCATAGTTAGGAGTGTCTCCTTATTGTGTCCAGCTCTGTGTGTCATTTCTTTGAATTTTACTCAGCTCTACTGTTGTCCTGGTATCTCTGATGTCTAGCCAGCTCTGTGTATTATACATGTATCTTTGTATTGTGCCCAAACTGTTTTTTTTTCAGATCTGTTTGCGATATGGTTTTCTCTGTATTGTACTCCACTCTATGTATTTTATAGAGATCTTTATGTTGTGCCCAACGTGTTTAATTGCATGAGCATCTCTGTATTGTAGGAGTATCTCTGTACTGTATCGGGAGGAATAAAATTCTGGAGGAGAAGTCTGGCACCCCACCATCTTAAAAATGTCACCAACCACCACTAAGTACTACCCCAGTTAATAAAATCTTTTCGATAAATGTATTTTCAGGATATACAGAGTATTAAGTTGAAATGAAGCCACACCTGCCAATTCATATGGCAGCTATTATAGTGCAAATGTTCTGCTTTTTCTCAAACCAATTTTAACACACACACACCCCTACAATGTGAAATAAACTTACCAGATCCTTGTCCGATGACATATATGGTTTCCCCTCTGCCTTCATCCATCCTATCTCGCAGCTGCTGTAGGAGGCTGTCATATTGCTCCGCACTGGGACTTACCAAGACATGCTGCAAAAGAAGACATCAAGAATTACAGAAGAAGGCCAATCTAACAGCAAGTTGATAATCTGTACCTTAAATGCAGAAAAACAAATGAATAAAAAACAGTATTTTTAGGACCATGTTATTCCCTACTTAAAAAGTACCTATAAAATCATACTTCTACATATAAATCCTGCAGGTGAGCAAAGTTTTGCTTTGCTTGTGTCATAATAGGAAATAGGAAATCTATTTTAAATACAAATTTATTTAAGTTGGATGAAAAAAAAAAAAAAAAAAAAGCCTTGTGAAATAAAAGGTGTAATTTTACATTCATACAAGAACCATACATTTCAGTGTGATAGTTTACAGATTAGACTACAAGTACGCACTTCAGAGGGTAAATACCAGCATGTCTCCATATTTTTCTTGCACAGAAATTATGTACCAAGACTTTTAACTGTAGGAGCCTTCTATGAAAATGCATGCACACCAGCCATACACCTGATTGTAAGTGGTCCCCCCTCTCCCCACCACATGTATGGATATGTCCAACACTTTCAATGAAGACAAAGAACTGGGAAACGGCTGGAAAATCTATTCCAGTCTCTCGCAAAAGCAGCAGAAAACTAGGCAACTCTATAAGGGAGTAGATCTGTTTTATCTTGTTAATATATTATCCCATAAATTCATTAGAGATGGTGGTTGGAAGCGTAACATATAAAGCCCCAGTTAGTTATGCTTGAGGAGTTTAATTTTGCTCCATAATTTCACCCATCCGCCCCCGTCCTCCCAATCTGCAGTGTTTGCCTCTGTCTACAATAATACAGGTTTAACTGACGTATTGTATAGAGAGCACAGACAAGGTATCAGACGGTTGCTGTTCATATAGAAAGCTCAGAGCAGAACTATGGCATCCAGAAGCTTGGGTTGTGCACACAAAGCAAGGGTGTGCAGAGACAAGCTCAGCATTGACAATAAAAGTTAAAGATTATTATGGATTACCAGTCTAACAAAGTCTTTGTAGATTTGTCTAACTTAATCTTCAGCCAAGTTACTGCTACTGTTGACTACAAAACAGTAACAGAGGTCCAATTCCAAGTTACCAGTTAGGAAGGATAGTCTACATCAAATGCCCAATATGCATTGATGGTTCAAACATAACATGTTTAGATGGATTTTGCTGACTGCAAACCACTGTATCTGTGTAATCTGAAGAGCTCTGATGTATTTATTAGATCAATATTATTAGTTATAGCTATTGTGGTGGGTACTACTGTGTTAGATCATATTTATCACTGTTCTCTCCATATGAAATTCTATTCATATTGTATCTATTAAACTTAACTTGAAATTAGGAGATGAAAATTACACAGTCCAAATTGAGGATAGGTGTTAATGCCAAAATTATGGTAAATGCTGTAGAAAGAAATAAGAAAAGAAAAAAGTGGCTAATCCTACTCTGTAAATAAAAGGTATTATTATTATGTAAAACAATGTATGTGCAAAGTAATGACCCCTCCCACACCCAAAGGGATAACCAATAATTTTTTTCATTTAACTTTTGTTTCTCCAATAGATAATTATATAGGCTATTGGAAACCAACCATTTATGGATTTATTTGACTTTTTATTGTTGGTTTTCTGTTCTCTGTACTATCCACTACAAATATAGTGAGAACAGGTGAGTTCTCCCATTTATAGAGCTCTCTCACACACACACGAAGAATAATGGCCAGACGGCCACCTCTGTGTGTGTTTTAGCTTACTTTAGTCTTCCATTGACAGTCTATTTTCACTAGCTCTGTAGTTTAATTGCAACTTTGACCCCATAGGCAGCTACACAATAAAACCTGATTAGTGCCTGCTCACCAAGTAGGTTTTTCCATTGACCATTGTTTGTGTTGCTAGTGAGCCTTGGATTTAGATAGAATAATTAGTTATCACATTGGGTGTGGAAAGTCATTATTTTGTACATACATGGTGTTAGTTTTATACAAAGAGACATATTATCCACTTTATGAATGGCTTGTTTTCCTTTATTCTGACATGGGTAAAACTGAACCATTTCATTATTTAATTTTGTGATAGGAGGAAGGGACGAAAAAAAAAAAAAACACACACAACCACACACACCTGGACTTACTGCCACACCTCATCGATCACAGTGGTTCCCAAACTTTTTAGGTTCAAGGCACCCTTAATATTTCAAATATTTTTCCAAGGCACCCCAAGTAAAAAGTTCTAGGTTATAGATCTGGGCAGCTCTACCAAATTTACTGGCGCAATAGTGTAATGTTCAGTGTTGATGTTTGAAGGGGTGCTTGTATGTAATGTTCACTTTTAAATGCAGATGTACATTTGTGTTTGAGTGAAGGGGCGTGTTTGTATATCCTTTTGGAGTTTGAATGCAGAGGTGTGTTTGTATGTAATTTTTGTGTTAGATTGCAGGAGTGTATTCGTATGTTGTGCTGTTGTATGACTGCTTGAATGTATGCACATACATACTTACACACAAGTTCATAGACACCAACCCATACATATAGATACACACCTGAGAATGGAAATTCCCCCATTCCCCCCCCCAAAAAAAACAAAACAAAAAAAAACACCCCACACAGACACAAAAGCACACTGAATATATATACACACACACTCTCTCTCTCTCTCTCCTCTGTTACCTTATGTGTCCATGAGGATGGCTTGGAGTCCTGGTCCTTCTTGTGAGAGTGAGGGGTCGGGAGCAGCTCTTGGAGTGCTCCTCTCCCTCACACGCTGTCGCTCTGTATGATGCTGGGAGGAAGTGACAGCCTGTCCCTTCCTCCCAGCCAGGCCAACATTACATGGGCCCAGTTGCGGTCTTAAAAAAGGACTGTATAACCAGACCAGGCCTGTGTTCAGCAGTAATGTTTCCCGGTGCTATAATCATAGCCCCGGGGAACCATTCTGTAGCACCTGTGTGCCTGTCACGGCACTGCGGCACACAGTTTGGGAACTGCTGATGTATCACAAAAATAAGGGATGTATTCAATGTAAAATTGAGATTTAATCATCGCTCTGAATTCCAGCATCATCGTAAAGATTTGTGGGCATCACCTCACGTAACTGCCACCTCTTGGCTGTCCCCACACCATCTCCGTTCTTTGACTTTCTCTGCTTGGAGACGCATCATGAAGCAAACCTCGGCACACTGGCTTCATTGCCAAAATAGAGTGATATTATGTCACTCTTTTTCTATACTCTATAGCCAGTGCTTGAAGTGCCAGCTAGGGGGTTTCCATAGCAACCACCGCACATATGGAGATACTGATAAAAGCTGGGTCAATGAAGACTTGTTTGGGAACTACTGATAAACATAATACATTTTCTAGTGCTGGTGCATTTGAATAGGCAACATGGATGACAATGATTCTGCTGCATACACCAGTAACAAATGCATGTATTGATAGTACTCAACCTTTACCAATCCCAGTTGCTCATGTTGTGCCATTTGGATATTACATAAATGTTATACATGTACCTATTAGACATGTTTTATGGTTGAAATGGTTCCTCCCGCACCTGCCATTTTATTTTTTATTAGGAAACCCTCAGCTCGTGTTGTAGATTTAGGATAGTCAGTATAAGTACATATAAAATAAAAAATAAATATATCCAGGAGGTTGTGTGAAATGTTCCTAATCTGTACTGGAACAGGTATATTTCTAATGGACTTGTATTCTTAAAAATGAGCACTTTAGGGAGCGAGAGTGCGAGCGAGCGAACTAAAACATAGAAGCAAATATAAGACCTAGATTAGCTATACTAGACAAAAGATGAGACATACAGCATGAAATGCATTTTGTGTCCCACCCATATTATTACAAGGCATAAACAAGTTACTCGCTCAAGAAGTTAGAGACATTTCATCAGCTGAAATCTTATACACTTGACCTTTTCCTCTTCAGTAAAATAGAGATTCACCTGTCCATTAAGTCTGCCTTTCTACACCGAAATTAATGGACATGAAAAAAAAAAAAAAAAAAAGCCATATTTATTATAGTAAATTCTACTGTGATATCAAACAATATGCTCATTTTTTAAAATTTGTTTCCTATGTTAATTGTTTTAGAACATGTACTTTTGAGTTTCATTTAGTACAGCGGAGGCCATTGAAAGGGAGAATGGGAAGGGTAGGAAGAGAGGGTGTAAACAAATATTAGAATTTATATTTTTTTAAGTGACTTTTTATCCTTTGTCAGGAAATAAACTCAAGCACCATTTAGTTTTTGATAATGTTAAAAAGTAGAAGAAAAAAAAAACAAAAAAAAAAAAACGACAAGTTAAATTTATTTATAAAAAGGATGTTGGATACATGCACCCCCTTAGAGGGGTGGAAGGTCCTCCACAATGTGCAAGTCACTGATGCCAGTTTGTTTCATGAAGAAGGGTCACATCCAGTTGTAAATTCCAGAATTGAGAGAGAAGATTCCTTTGCCTGAAATGACACCTTTATATGCATTTCTCTTCTGGAGGATGCATACAGTAATACTATGTAATGGAAAAGATTTCCTCTCAAGGTGCTTGTGAATGTGATTACCTAAGGTCAGCTACATTTGATGATAAAAACAGGAGTAAGAGGTGGTAAGTAACTGCATAAAGCAGAACACATTTTACACACCTGCAGCTTGAAGGGGGACATGTTTGCTACAGACAGGTGAGCAGTAGTGTCCTCAAGGATAGGTTTTTTTTATTTCCTTGCAATATTGAATCTTTACAGCAAATATCTGCCAAGTAGCAAAAAGGAAGGCAGTGTAAAGATTACCATTCTGCCATGTATATGATACATAAAAAAAAAAAGCACATGAATTTAGCTACTTAACATCTGGACTAAGACCCACTGGGTGATCACTAGGCAATTCCACTATCCCCCAGTAGAGGGCAGGCATCTGTATATCAGAATAACGATTAACCAGAAGTTTAAGTGGCCACATATGAAACTACAGATTTGGCCTTCACTGAATAAAAGTGTATCACACATAGCATCCACTTGTTCCAGCCACTGATATTACAGACTAATAACAAAAGTTACTCATCCACTAGATCAGATGTTACAGACACATTTCGTCAGCTGTTAGAAGTCAACATACAACAACAACAAAAAAAAAAAAAAACTGACAATCATTTAATAATCTGATTAAGAATCAAGGCACAGAGATTTAGAAAATACACAACTTTTTCTACAAAATTATGTGCAAGAACACATCAGAAACTAAAAATCTTATTACACATTAGAATATGGCCTTTATTCCAGCATTCCACAGTTAACTTACCTAGAACATTCCCAAAACCCTGAGTCATTAAAAAACCATTTACAAATGTCTGCAATGGAGAAGAGAGTTGAAGTCTTTTTTGAAGAAGACCCCAGTGGACAACTGATAGTCAGGGCCATAGGAGAATAGTCCCATGGAAACAGCTCTATTGCTACCTTCACCATGTTACATGTAAATGTTGGCCAGGCACTACAGCGCACTCTCACAGAATGCTTTTATAGACAGAAAACAATAAGCAATGAAGTCACATCTATTTGTCTGCTGACGGAGGAGAGAGATTTTTTAAATATACACATTAAACACACGAAAGTCATTACAAGTACAAAAAAAAAAAAAAAGTGTGGAGAATATATTGCACACTTTGGTCAATTCATTTAACACAAACATGTTTTTGATTAAGGTGAATCATACTAGAATAATTTAGTTCGATAGATCATGCAAGAGGCACAATAGAAACGAGTTTATAGCATTATTAGTAATGAATTTACTTTTATGTTATAGTAAACACGATTAAAAACAGCTGGGACTCCAAATCAGGCCAGACCAGCGTTTAAATAAACACAAGAAAATAAATTCCTAGGTTAGTTTAGTAAATAAAGTAAGCTTTTACATAAAAGCAACACACATACATTAAAAACAAAAAACACCCCACACGCTACATCTCATCAGAAAAACCAAACAAGAAGTTCTTTAAATGTAGGTTTTTTTTTTGTTTTTTTTTAAAACCAAACTAATGTTTCTTAATAGCATATAAATATAAAACAAGAGGTATTTTTAATGCAGAAAATTACAAACATATACGTCAGCCCGGCCAAGAGCCAAGTTTAGTTACAGAGTGCCACATGATCATATATAGTATAGCTGAGTTTGGGGTGTTTTTCTTCCCTTTCACTCTGATCCATATGTCCTGCACTAGATAACACACAGAGTGCTGAGTGGGTCCCATACTTTAGGAGTGGCACCTGTCTCTCCCACGGACCGATCAATACAGAGTATGAATGAATGGGAGGCTGGGTGTTGGAGGATAGTTAATATACAGTATCTGTTTATATGGACTCTCCTGCCAGGTAATGTAGTAAGGCTGTATGGCCTCTCCTGTCAGGTAATGCAATATAATATAATGTAGTAAGGCTGTATGGCCTCTCCTGCCAGGTAATATATAATGTAGTATAGTGTAATGTAGTATAGTGTAATGTAATATAATGTAGTATAGTGTAATGTAATATAATGTAGTATAGTGTAATGTAATATAATGTAGTATAGTGTAATGTAATGTAATATTATTAAGGCTGCTGAATGAGCTGCCCCCATGTTTGTATTGGGCAGGAGCCCACGTCACCCGTGTGATCGTGTAACAGACCCATAGCAGGGCACTGTAGGCCATAGCGGACGGTGAATGCCGGCCCGGGACACGTCATGTCGGTGCCCGCAGAGCGGTGACAGCTAGAGGGCCCCACATCCCCGCCCTGTCCTGAGTGACACGTCCCCCAGCCCATTCCCTCAGCCGGCCAGGCTGGGAGCGAGGAGGACCCCCATGCCGAGCCTTACTTTAGAAGTCAGATCTAGATCTGCCTCCCCATTCCGCATGGGCTCCCCGTCCAGGCTGCAGTCTGAGTCCTCGGCTTCAGGCTCCGGGGAGAACATGGATGCCGGGACCGGGGACTCGCACAGGTTCGGCTCCGGTTGTTGCGTTGACGGAGACGCCATCTTGTATTGACTGTTTGCCGTCCTGCAGGCCACACTAGAATCTACCTAGCAACCGCGGCTTTCATAGCGCAGACTTCCCTGCTATTGGTCGGGGGGTGGAGCTATGCGAGCCTTGTAGGACACGCCCACCCAGCATATCCGTTGTCACTGCTACTATATATTACATAGGCCACGCCCTGTGTCTACAAGAGTAAATAACACCTCATGTGGCTGGAGGAAAAACTCTCACACTGAGAGGCGCTAGTTATAATTTGGGATTTAATTACTAAACAGTGAATTATTTTTCATTGACAATTAGCCATATATTTTGGGATTTAATTACTAAACACTGAATTATTTTTTATTGACAATTAGCCATTCCCATATTAAAGGGAAACTCTTAAGAAAACCATATGTTGCTTAGAGTTACCTGCTAATGCCAACCTGCTTACAAACTGTTTGACATAAACAGGGTCCTATGCAAACAACATTTTGAAAAAAGGAGGGAAGCACCTCCAAAACTGTGTGCAACAAGCGCTACAGTTTTAATTGAAGAACAAGATGCATTGAGAAACAGCTTTGCCCGAAATGTTTGTATAGATGCTTGTTCTTCAATTAAGCGCTACGGAATCTGTTGGCGCTATATAAAAGGCAAAAATAATAATAATTAAAGCTGTAGCACTTGTTGCACACACTGGTTGCGCTTCCCTCCTTCTTTCAAAATTCTGTTTAGATATATCACTGCAGGAGCCACAGTGAGGTGGGATAGCAGCACCTGTACCTTGTTATTTTACTGCCTATTTGGAGTACCGTAACTATAGCTCCTATCTTTTTTTTTATGTAAACAGGCCCTATCTATACTACACCTTCCCCTCAGCTGTATTGTAATGTAAAGTTAAAGCAGATAAGTCAATTTCGAGGTCTTTATATATTTCGCAAAGACTCCCAAAAGAGACATATCCCATGTGGATCTGGTGGCCTTGGGGTGCAAGGGAGGTGAGTTTTACTTAACTCAGACTGTCCCTCGCGACTTCCACCGTCACACTGCACCATGTTCAAGCTAAAGTTGCTAGGAGCCATATTGGTGTTGTACTCTTGCGCATGCGTAGCCTTTCAGCCTGCATCAGTTTTTTTAATAGCATGATCTGATTGTGAGTTGCATGTTGACTTCTGACAGCTGATATAGAACTTTTGAATTCAGCTACAAAATGCATGTTTGCCTTGGTACTAACCTATGGAACTAAAGTATCCTCTAATCTTTGTGCCTCAATTCCTAGTCAGTTTATTAAGTGACTTTCAGTCTGTATCAGTGTTTTAACAGCATGATCTGATTGTCAGTCTGATTAGGTTGTATGTTGACTTCTAACAGCTGATGAAATGTCTGTAACATATGATCTAGTCTAGTGGATGAGTAACTTTTGTTATTAGTCTGCAATATCATGGGTGGAACAACATTCCATGCTGTGTGTGTGCTACACTTTTATTCACTAAAGGTCAAATCTGTAGTTTCCTATGTGACCTTTAACCGTCTCTGATTACTCCTCAAATGAGCCCATTCAGATGTTTCTTTTTTGGGCAATCTGCTGGTGGATAGTGGCATTATATAGAGACCCCTTAATGGGTTTTCATCCAGATGTTAAGTAACTGATTTCAAATGTTTTTCATATAAATGCATCTTATACATGGTAGAATAGTAACTTTTACAGTACATTCCTCTTTGTAATTTAGCAGGCATTTGCCATAAGGTTTTACTGTTTGAAGTAAAAATACATAGGGATGTGGAAAGAGCGCAGGTAACTTTTTTCTTTGGTTTTTACTATATGTATTTTGGCTGATGTGTACTATGGTCGTTGCTGCTGCCCAGGAGTAATAGGAGTTTGAGCGCAGGACTTGTTTCTTTGTATTTGTATTCACTTTTGTATCACACAGCTAGGTTACAATGCCGCTGCCCATCCCATGTGTTCCCTATTAAGGGTTAATAAGCATGTAAGGATGTATATAAAAATATACCCCTTTCTGTCTCATTAGAGATATCTTTGCCAGAAGCTCAAGGAAGCAAGGCAAATGGTTAGAGTAGGACCCACCCAAGAGGTCTGCCTTGACGTGGCAGGTGGGCATACCCTCTCATGGCCAGTGGAGGTAAATAAAAACCTCCAATTGTTTAAAAATACATCGGGATGTGGAAAGAGCGCACGTAACTTTTTTTTCTTTGGTTTTTACTATATGTATTTTGGCTGATGTGTACTATGGTCGTTGCTGTCGCCCAGGAGTAATGGGAGTTTGAGCGCAGGACTTGTTTCTTTGTATTTGTATTCAAAAAAATAAATACGACTACGCTTTAGGCAGTCACTGCTATCCAGAGCCTGAATCCCACAGCTGTTATTTGTGGCGGCTGCTGGTTTTGGACAAAAGTTGACGGCAGAACTCTGCCTTTTGTAAAGCTCAGGCTTTACCATAAGACAAAACAGTCCTGCTTTGTCTTATGGTATCTTTGGATTGAGTTGGAAAGTCAAAGAAATTCACAAAGAAGTATTTCTTTATGAAATACTGAAAAGTGACAGATCCACTTTAACACTTCTGCATTATTAATTTCTGTTTCAACTAACACTCTATTGTACACTAAAGACTGTGGGGAGAGGCTCAATCTGCAATATACTTGTATTTAAGCTGATTATTGTAGTGAAGCTCAAATCTGTTTTCAAGAAAATGAAATATAGGTGTGTGTGTAGCACTCAGGTAAGCGCTAAATTTTGGTTCCTGTGCACCAGTAGCTTGTGTTGCGGACAGCAATGGTAGAGGATTGCAGTGGCAGAATTTCAAAATGGCATTGGCGTTGATCGGAATACTGGGGACTAAAACAAATTAGAATCTTGGTATTATGATTTTACTTAATTAATTTGGTAGTTAGTAGGAACTTTTATTGGTTACTCTAGTTATTGGCATATATATATATATATATATATGCACTAGCTGCTAATTATTTTCTAAATACCTTTAAAGGTTTACTGATTGACAGCTACTAGAGGCAGTCTTAGCCTTGGAATGTAATGATGGTAGTTGATTTAAAACTGCAATGATTCACATTGCATGACTAAGTGGGACAATGAGCTGAAGTGGTCTGGGTGCCTATAGTGTCCCTTTAATAGCATCCCACTAGGAACAAGGAAGTCAACAATTAGTGAGAGGCCTAGGCTAAATAGCGTTCATAATTTTGCCCTGGTCTGTCTCTCCAATAGTGCTGACTTTCTTGTTTTTCTTTGAGTTGTGTGTCCTAATTAGTTTTTTTTCTAATGTTGGGAATGTGGTTAGAAGGAAATCAGGAGGAATAATATAGTGCAGAACTATAAGTAATCAAATAATCAACACACTCAACCAATGTAATGCAATTTTGCATAAATTGTGAGATCTTGATTATGTGAAATAAGTAAAATCGGTAGGTGTATTAATCTGTAAATTAGATCTATTATAAATGACCACTATGGCAGAAAAAGAGATACCACCCAACAGGTAATTATTGAATAAAATGAGAAAGTTTATGTGGCTAGAAAGAAGTAAAATAACAGGCAGAGGTTGGGTAAGCTTAAAACATAGGGAACACCAAGTGAAAGTAAAGTCCGGGGACCATGTCAGACCTATACATATGGACAGCCTGGTTACATTGGAATACTTGGATAATATGGAAATGCAATGGGGACTGAAAGCTGCAGGTTATGTTGGCCGGATGTCAGATTTGCATTATTTGCTATTAAACACCTGAATACAGGTGAAGCATTAAGGTGCAACATGTCTGGACACGGCCCAAAATATGGAGACGTTTAATTCTAAAAAGACATGTATGACATATGGGAACAGTAGATCAAAGGGGACCTGCCCAAACAAGCTTACAATGTGAAAGGCTGAGACAAAAATATAAAGGATAGTGAGGGAATCGAGTGATCTAAATGTACCCAAGGATGGGCGGGGTGTTTGGGGGGAGGGGAGCACAGTAAATGGGAGATGATGTTGTAGGGGATGAAGAGTTAAGGGGAGAGCTAATAGGCTTCTCTCAAGAATTTTTTTTTTTTTTTTTTTAGGACTGCAAAGATGGGGAAAATCAATGTTCAATCCATGAAGAGGGGGCAAACCTGAAAAAGACGTGCGGGTGAGCGTCTGGGATGCAGGTGCAAGAGCGGGATAGTAACAAGTGTATATATATCCCCCTATCTGTATAATTACCAGTGTTCTTGTTGTATTTGAAAGGCGTGTATTACTTACCTTTCAGCCCTCAATGCGGCCACACCACCTCTATAGCGGAGTTCCTCAATATCATCATAGGCAATCATTGGAAGGCTACTGCCAATCAAATGCTGTCCTTGGAGCAGCAATTGACCAAGAACCGTGTTTGACTCGGTTCTCACAGCCGAAAGCGCTTCCATGGCTGGCAAATAGCCACTAGAAACATATTTATCACTGCAATGTAAGCAATCTAAAAAAGAAAAAACAGGAATGTTTTACATTGTAGGGTTAAAACAAAAGGGTCACTTGCACCTAGACCACTTCATTGAGATGAAGTGGTCTGGGTGACTTTAAATAAAATTTTGAGGCACAATAGTTGAAGTGGAACATTTCTCCAAGTAAGTGTTTAGAATTCCAGCTTAGCTATTTTGGACTAACACTGAAATCCCCCAAATTCACAATTTAGTGATTAACCCATTGTAGGAACTCTCATATCTTCTCCTCAGTCACTGCTACTAACATTTAACCGTAAAATTACCTAATTTTCTATTTCCTACAAGTAACTGGTCTTTTTAAATTTTGAAATATACAAAAAAATAAATAAAATAAAAATTAAGAAAACCTATATAACTGGTCACATGAATGCGGAAGTCGTGCGTCCCAGGAAAATCCTTCCAGACGCGAATGACCAACCACCCAGCACATAGCGCCGAAGTGAGGGCTGGAACGCACATTGCGTCACGACAGCCCCAACCAATCAGCGTGCTGAGCTCGAACAAGGGCTGGTGCGGTTGCAATGTTGGGGTCGGTGACGTCACGCGCGTTGCGTGTAGCCCTAGACGCAGGGAATCGGCGTCTGGTGCTGATTTAATGACGTGAGCGGTCGGTTTGGTTGAGGCGGCGGAGGGTGAGTGAGTCACGGGGGAAGGTGTGTAGTAGCAGCTTGGCCTAGAATAACCACTCGGGGCGCTCTAAGTCAGGTGAGTGAAAGACCCTTAAAGACCCCCTACCCCCAGGGCGGTCCTGGCCCTCTAACCTTGGGCTGAGCAGCTCTATAGCTTTATTGTATTGATATATTCTGTAACATTAGCCATACTGGCTCCTCATTGCCAACACCAGACTGAGAGTGTAATACAGGCCATGGGTGCCCCCAGCCAAATGCTGGGACCCCCTGCACCAGGGACCCCTACACAGCATGGGATATTGGGGGGGTGGGGTTATATTGTAGGGGTGCAATAGGCTCCTCCACACCCCAGACATTACTCACATTACTCACCTGGACACTCATGTGATTCAACACTTTGTTTTTGTTTTTTTAACTTCCTTTCCCCAAAACTTTTTTTATTTTATTTATTTTTTGTATTGTTAATGTATGGCAGGGTTGTACAAAAGCTATAACAACCAGATGTTTTGAGAACTACAAATTCCATGATGCTTTGCCTTTTCGATGGCTGGTAAAGCATCATGGGAGTTGTAGGTCATAAAAAGTTCTGCCTTTTGTGCACCCATGTACTAGAACCATTAGACATGAAGCAGCACTCCTCTAACCTATCTAATGGTATTATTGTGTGGATACCCATGCAGTTAATATCATCATTTATCTATACAATATGAACCCTTGTACATTGGACTTTCATTGATTGCACATATTTCTGTGCAGCAAAAGCTGAACATCTCTCTGGACATTGCACAATATGTCTACAGCAATAATTATTTACATATCTGTGTTATGAATTGCATATACTGCAGATGGTGTGTGTCATGCATTTATTTTTTGTACCGTTTTTAAATTGCTTGTGTTTAATGCTAGTTCTAGAGATCTGGCACTGGTAAAAAAATACAAGCTACTCCTCTGTTTTAGACGATGGCTATGCAAATACTCAGCAATTGCCAGTTTAGTGAACAGGACTGTAAATGGCCATAATCAAATCCAGTTGTAGATGCTTAGCTGAGAGCACTCTGGGAAATGCGTATTTAGGTCCCATATGCATACAGATGTTATGGACCCAAGATTTGATACAACTTTATAATGTCAAGTAAATATTTCAGTCAACCTTCTAGTAATATAAGATATCTTATTATTTTTTTGTTTGTTCATGTTCTGGATTACTCTTGCTCTTTATGGATGGCCATCTTTAGCGCTGTTTGGTCAGAAGCACTATTTTAACCAGTAAAACAATGTGTAATTTCAAGGTCCTACAGTATCTGAGTGTTTTTTTTTTTTTTTTTAAGAAAACCTGTGTGTTCACAAATGTACACTGCTTGTTTTTGGTTAGACAGGCTATGCTTCTGACAACTATTTAAAAATGTCTGGCCACAATAGAGCAAGGCTAAGCCAGGATATGCACGGAAAATAGTTACTTGTTCTTATGCAATCATAAAAGGGTTACCCCATTCACCATTACCACTTCTTCAGTACTTTAAGTGATCACGGTGCCTGGAGTCTACATGTGCAGCGTTTTTTTTTTTTTTTTTTGTGAAACGCTGCTTATACAGAGTTTAACCTCTGGGCTTGTAGGGGTGTATCTACACCTCCTGGCAGCGTCATGGTGTATCATTTATTGGCTAAAAGCAGTCAACTGACACTCTCAGCCATTGAATGGAACCAGGGCATCATTACCACTACAGTAGGCTTGCAATAATCCTTTCACTTTCCCTTTTATTCTTGCTTTACAGCTCAGGGCAAGTTATCCGTTAGTGAATTATAGGATGACTCTCCGCTAAATTATTATAGTAGACAAAATGTGTTATCCTAGCCAACTAACTTTTGACATAGACACCAAAGCAGTGAAATCTGTTGTGCATCAATCCAGTTACAGTGTAGATAGAAATATAGTAATCCTTATACAGCACTGATTACCCAGTTACCTAACAGAATGTCCTCCAAACACCTTTTTGTTTTGTTTTTTGCTGTTTAATTGCGCTTGTCAGTCTGGAGGAAATGTAATAAGTAATCTAACAGTAATGCTTTATTATGAACAAGTGAAAAGAGCTAATGGACTGACATTTACTGGAGTTAAAATAATATTTAGCACAAATATGTGAACCTAAGTGGTGTAATCCCTGTTTATAGATACAGTGGAGCTTGACTTCCTATTGCATATGTCCTTAACAGAATATGAAACATCTCAGTTCTCTTGTAATGGAGTAAAGTGGTACAGTCTCTCTACTTTCTGATATGGTACCAGTGGATATTCCCAGCTTATATATGGAGCACAAAACAATGTATTTAGTGCACACTGTTTAAAATTAAAAATCTACTTACAGGTTCCAGAGCAATGTGAATTGCTTGTTCCTCACAGTGTAGGTGGTATTATCCCCACCACGTATGATTCCAAATAAACTGCAGTAGAATATAATCCAGGTTAAGGGTTTAAAAAAAAAAAAAACATTTACTAAGCAAAAAAGCCAATAAAAACCTACACCAATGCGTTTTCCCCCATAAAAGTAGGCTTTATCAAAAACGTAGAAAAATAAATAAATCAAACACCCATGATGCCTAGCTGGTTGTGGCCGTTACATGGTTATGACAATTGATTGTAACCTTAAACTTACATTTTGGAGACCCCACATATATTCTAAATTAATGTGTTCTTTTGCCACAAAACTTTCAGATTTTTATTTTGTCATGTTTCCGTCTGAACTAATTTCAATTGCATGTATTAGGTTAAGTATTTTGTTTTCTCTTTCTGTTCCACTGCATTATATACATATATTATAATTATTTTCCTTTTGTAGGTTACAGAGCACTGTGTGATCTGAAAACCTGCACCAAATGCAGAGGCTCTAAGCTGAGGTTGGAATGGAGGAAAAAGAAAGATGTGGTAGAGCGTGTCTTGGCTTGTGATTATTATTTTTGCAAGGGCGACCAGTCTCATTTTGAATTGGACACTGGAACGCACCTTAGCCAAGTTCATTGTTACATCTTCTTGCTTTGCCTCTTATAAGATATGAGCTACAACTTGTACATTTGGACCACTGACTCCAGTTTGCACTAGTGAACTCTTGTAGCTGATTACGCTGTACCACATCCATATCCTAATTTTGAGCACCCGCCATGAGCTGTGTGCCGTGGAAAGGTGACAAGGCAAAAGCTGAAGCTGAGGTCCAAGAACCTCTTCCACCACATATTTACCATGAGAAACAACGTCGGGAGCTGTGTGCCCTCCATGCCTTGAATAATGTCTTCCAGGATGCTGGAGCATTTACTCGGGACAGCTTACAGGAAATATTCCAGAGGTGGGTATCTTATTTAACTTTATGATACTGCTAGCTCTTATCATTCTTTGCTAGTTAGGTTTTGATCTGTAATATAGGTCTTGGTGTTATATATTTTTGACGTTTTGGCCTTCTATGTTAAAACTGTATTTATTTAAAACAACTGTAATTATTTATTTTTCTTTGAGTCAAATATAAATATATTGTAGTCCCAATTGTTATAGGAGCACTTTGGGGGGGGGGGTGCAACCCCCAGTTTGGGAGAGTGGCTTCAGCAGATTACAAGTGGGACATCTGAGATCTCTGTCCAGAAGGGTGCAGTTCTAGAAACCACTAAGATACTAGAATACTATATATATAAATTTTTTTTATTGCATTTTATTTATTTTTACATTAAGGTATTAAATCCTTTTGGTGACAGTGTTCTTTTAAACCCTTCCCGACCACAGATGTACCAGGTACGTCCGACAAAATACTGCCCTTAAGGACCTCTGACGTACCTGGTACGTCCGCGGCTATTTTGAGTGCTGGAAGCGATTTGTGATCGCTTCCAGCAGCTCTTATGGTATTACACGATGCCTTGATATCGAGGCATTGTGTAATACTCCCCTACACTGCCGGGGACCCGAGTGATCGACCTACCCGGAGCGATCACTTCTGGGTTTGCCGCACGTGGTGCCAGACAGTGTAGAGAGAGCATCTGAAGCCATCCACAGGTAATAGGAAATAGTTAAAAATAAAATTTTTTTATTACATTTAAAAAAAATAAAAAATTAACCCATACCCTCCCTTCCCCATGTACTTACCGATCGCCGTGTTCCCCCACCGGCGATCGGTCTTCTTCTTTTGGCGGACTCTCTGGACTGAGCCCAGAAAGTCCCCCCCCTCTCAAATTTAGGACCCCCAGGGGCCATGTGACCGCTCTAAAAGAGCGGTCACATGGCCCCCATAAGTGTCCACAGTACTGCCAAACAGGGGAACTGCCTGAACTGTCTCGCAGTCCCTCTGCTGGTGGAAAAGTTAAAATAAAGTTGGCCAGTGTTTGTGACGAAGTGGTTACTAAAAAAGACTGGACATACCCCATTTGAAATACCTTGGGTTGTCTTCTTTTGCAAATGGTATGGCATCATGGGGGTAATTCTCATTCCTGGGCTACCATATGCTCTCAAAGGCTACGTAACCAACCTGACCATTTTCAATGTAAAAATATTTGACCCACATATTTGACCTTGTAACTTTCAAAAACTCTATAAAACCTGTACATGGGGGGTACTGTTTTACTCAGGAGACTTTGCTGAACACAAATATTAGTGTTTCAAGACAGGAAAACATATCACAACGTATCATCAGTAAAAGTGCTCTTTGTGTGTGAAAAATGCAAAAAAAGTCACTTTCACTGACAATATCATCGCTGTGATATGTTTTACTGTTTTGAATCACTAATATTTGTGTTCAGCGAAGTCTCCTGAGTAAAACAGTACCCCCCATGTACAGGTTTTAGGGTGTCCTAGAACGTTACAGGGTAAAATACAGTGCTAACAAATTAAATTCTCTGGACTTTCGGCCTGGGTTGGCAGGCAGGTCCCTCAAATTGCAATCAATAAAATTACTTAATTATGTAAAAATATGACATAAATACGCACGTAGAATTTAAATATATATGCATATTTATATATTTGAGGTCTACGTGTATATTAATATAATTATGTAATTTTGTATATGGACATGTGTATATATGTGTGTGTGTGTGTGTGTGTGTGTGTATATATATATATATATATATATATATATATGTGTGTGTGTGTGTATGTATATATATATATATATATAATCTCAAAATAGTTAGAATAAAATTTCATATAGATAATTTTTATTTTAAGAAAAATTTAATTTTAAATTATTTGTATTTTATAATATATACAATATAGTTATTATATACGTGTGTAATTTAATTATAAGTAAATTTTTACATTAATATAAAAATACAATTGGCATGACAAAAAAAAATATATATATATATTAACTTTTTTTTATTTTTTTTTTTATTTTACACTAGCAGGGAGACTAGGCAGTCCCCCTGCAGGCACATGGACACCTATTGTGACCACGTGATCGCTCTATTGAGCGATCACATGGCCCCAGGGGTCCTAATCCGCCACGGGGAGACTGCCTGGGCTGCAGGCAGTCTCCCCACACCGGGAGCAACGCCGATCGCTACCGCGGGAACGACGGCGATCGGGTAAGTACATTGGACCGTTATGGCGGTTCAGGACCGTCACCGGTCGGCAATGCAAAAATGCCGATGACTGTCCTGAACCGTCCTCAGTCCTTAAGGGATTAAACATGGATTCCTTTGAGTCTGTGTTTGCTGTATACAACAGCCTTAACCCCTTAAGGACTGAGCCAATTGTAAACGTTGTGATCAAAACGTAAACAAAAACTTTAATTTGCGCTATATGTCTGTTCAGGCGTAATTCACCTCTTTCATTTTATGTGCACCCACACTTATTATATATCATTTTATTCAGGGGAAACAGGGCTTTCATTTACATCAAATATTTAGGTATAAAACATAATTTAATATGAATAAAATATAAAAAAATGGGAGAAAATAAGAATTTAAAAAAAAGTTTAGTTCTACTTTACATTCTAACTGTGAATGTCATAATACTGTTTGATTTTTACCGCAATAAAATACACATATTTATATTCAGCGATGTCACACGTGTAAAACAGTACCCCCTATGTACAAGTTTTATGGTGTTTTGGGAATTTACAGGGTCAAATATAGCATGTTCCATTTTTCAGTTTTTTCACATTGAAATTCGCCAGATTGGTTATGTTGCCTTTGAGACCATATGGTCGCCCAGGAATGCGCATTACCCCCATGGTGGCATACCATTTGCAATAGTAGACAACCCAAAGTATTGCAAATGGGGTATGTCCAGTCTTTTTTTAGTAGCCACTTGGTCACAAACACGGGCCAAAGTTAGTGTTAATATTTAAAAAAAGCAAAAAACTAATTTGAACGTCAATTTTGACCAGTGTTTGTGATGAAGTGTCTATTAAAAAAGACTGAACATACCCCATTTGCAATACCTTAGGTTGTCTACTTTTGCAAATGGTATGCCATTATGGGGGTAATTCTCATTCCTGGGCTACCACACCGTCTCAAAGGCAACGTAACCAATCTGGCGAATTTCAATGTGAAAAAGCTGAAACGCAAGCCTTATATTTGACTCTCTACCTTTTTGAAAACACCATAAAACCTCTACATGAGGGGTACTGTTTTACTTGGGAGACTTCGCTGAACACAAATATTAGTGTTTCAAAAAGGTAAAACGTATCACAGCAATTATATTGTCCGTGTAAGTGCCATTTGGGTGTGAAAAATGCGAAAAATTTCACTTTCACTGACCATATCGTCGTCGTAATACATGTTACTGTTTTGAATCACTAATATTTGTGTTCCGCGAAGTCTTCCGAGTAAAACAGTACCCCCCATGTACAGGTTTTATGGTGTCTTGGAAAGTTACAGGGTTAAATATAGTGCTAGCAAATTAAATTCCCTGGACTTTTGGCCTGGGTTGTCAGGCTGGTCCTGCTAATTGTAATTAATAAAATTACATAATTATGTAACATTATTACATAAATATACACGTAGAATTATAGTGTGTGTGTGTGTGAATACATGTATAGCATGTTACATCTTTCACATTGAAATTGGTTACATTGCATTTGAGACCGTATGGTAGCCCAGGAATGAGAATTTTCCCCCATGATTGCATACCATTTGCAATACTAGACAACCCAAGGTATTGCAAATGGGGTATGTCCAGTCTTTTTTAGTAGACACATGGTCACAAACACTAGCAAAAGTTAGCGTTAATATTTGTGTGTGAATTAATAAAATGACCTAATTATGTAAAATTATTACTTAAATATATACAAGGAATTATATTTTTTATATATATATATATTATATATTAATAGTTACAACGAATATATAGTTTTTTTTTACATATTCACTTTATATTATAATGAAAATTATATATTTTTTTTTAATGAATATCATATGTGTATTTTGATAGATATATATATATATATATCTCTCTCCCGCTTGCTCTCTACGTTCAAACTACGTTCAAGTTACAGATTCACAATGTCTAGATGGTACACTGCTGAGGAGGCCTATGATATTTTAGTAGCCGACTCTGATGCCACAGACACTGCCTCTGAGAGTAGTGATGACTCTTTGCCAGTTACTGCAGGGCTCTCTGTTGTAAGCGCCGAGTCCACTGACATGGCTCATGACGCTGGGGACTAAGAACCCCCGAATGATTTTACGCCCGACATCCCAGAGTTTACTGGTAGTCCTGGAATTCAGTTGGACTTGGCTAACTACAGTGCACTGGATTTCATGCAGCTATACTTGGGGTGGGGGGGGGGGTATTTTAAGGGATATCGTCACCCAGACCAACATTTATGCTGCACAGTACCTGACGCTTAATGATCAGAGTCTCATTGCCAGGAAAGGGAGTTGGTACCCCATCAGTGTGCCAGAATAAAAAAAAAGAGCATCAGAATGTACTGGTCCAAAAAAAATCTGTATGCAGCACCCCTATTTACTCCCAGACCATGAATAGGTCCAGATACGAAGCAATACTTCGCTTTTTACACTTCAGCGACAATTCAAAGTGTCTTCTAAGAGATAATCCTCAGTACAATAACCTCTATAAGATTCACCCCTTAATTTCCCACTTCAACAGACCATTTGGCTCAATTTACACCACACAAAAAATATTTGTGTAGATGAGTCTTTGATGAAATACAAAAGCAGACTGGGGTTTAAGCAATATATCCTGGTATGGGATAAAGTTATATAAACTTTGCGAAAGTGCCAGTGGCTATGTTTACACCTTCTTTGTTTTTACGAAGGTAAAGATAGCCACTTGGAACCCCCAGGTTGCCAGGATATCATTGGCACTAGTGGGAAGATTGTATGGGATCTAATTAAAGGACCACTCTAGGCACCCAGACTACTTCAGCTTAATGAAGTGGTCTGGGTGCCAGGTCCTTCTAGGGTTAACCCATTTTTTTTATAAACATAGCAGTTTCAGAGAAACTGCTATGTTTATGAATGGGTTAAGCCTTCCCCCTAATCCTCTAGTGGCTGTCTCATTGACAGCCACTAGAAGCGCTTGCGTGCTTCTCACTGTGATTTTCACAGTGAGAGCACGCAAGCGTCCATAGGAAAGCATTGTAAATGCTTTCCTATGCGACGGGCTGAATGCGCGCGCAGCTCTTGCCGCGCGTGTGCATTCAGCCCAGGAGGAGGATCGGAGGAGGAGAGGAGGCAGAGAGCTCCCCGCCCAGCGCTGGAAAAAGGTAAGTTTTAACCCCTTTCCCCTTTCCAGAGCCGGGCGGGAGGGGGTCCCTGAGGGTGGGGGCACCCTCAGGGCACTATAGTGCCAGGAAAACGACACGTTTCCTGGCACTATAGTGGTCCTTTAACCCATTGCTAAACAAGGTATCATTTATATATAGATTACTACAACAGCATCCCTCTTCTTAGGATGCTTTATTGCTTTAAAACTGTGGCCTGCGGCACTATCCGAAAAACGTGTCGCTTTCCCAAAAGCCCTGGCACAAAAAAAGCTCAAGAGGAGAGGAAACGGCTGCTCTCTGCCAGGGCGAACTGCTGGCTCTCAAATTTAAAGATAAAAAGGTGTTCTTGCATACTGAGCACCCTCGCAGACTAGAAATTAGACGGGTGCCAGTCTGCATTAGGCAGTACAACAAGCATATGGGGGGAGTTGACCTGTCCGACTAACTGCTGCAGCCATATTTAATACTGAGGAAGACCAGGGCATGGTACAAAAATCTTCGCATTTACCTAATGCAAATGGTGACACACCATGCCTTTTATTATATACAAAAATGCAAATGCTTACATTAAATCCACACTTCTGGATATTCAGTTTCAGCTGATTTCTGGGCTGCTCACTGAATGCCACAGTGGGGAACCATCAACCGGGCCTAGTAGCAGAAGGGTTGAGACAGGTCACTTGTGTTTCTGCATACCACCAACCCCAGAAAAGGTGCAGGTTGTGCTACCAAAGGGGCATAAGGTCAGAAGCCAGCTTTTACTGCCCTGATTGCCCCTCTCAGCCGTCCTTTGTAATTTTCTTCTTTTTTTTTATTTATTTTTTATTTTATTTTTTTATAGGGGCTGACGACCTTTAGGGCCAAGAAGGCTGCTGCAATTCTGACTCTGATTATTTTATTTTAATTTTTCTAATTTTATTTAGTTAATTAGAGTGCGTGGTAATTCATGGGAAATTGGGGAGTTTAGTGTTACGTTAGGGGTGTAAAGATTTTAAAAAAATAAATCATTTATAACATTTAGTTGAAGTTCTTGTGTAAAAAGTTTAAAAATGCTTAGGAAGTTCTGAATTCTATCAGCAGACAGTTGAGACAGTGCCTCCAAGTTTGATGCAGGTTAATACAGTGATTAATACCTTATTTAAGAAATTTTGGTAGGCCTTTGTGGGGTAGTTTGAATTATCAGCCTGCTAAGATGCTATACAATTGCACATGGACCCACCCCCAAATTTCAAAGTTTGAAAAAAAAAAACTGGTCTCCAATGTGCCCCTTTAACATCAACATATTCCTGAAAAAGGTACACATGGGGGTATTGTTATACTAAGACGATATAGCTGAGCAACATATTGAGTGTTGTACTGCTGTAGCACACACAAGGATTGCAAAATATACAGTAACATCTCCAAGTGTGTGTCAAAAAGGCAGGGAAAAAAAATGCTAATTGCTACTAGACTTGGTACAAACTAGCAATAACATGATCCTACCCTAGGGTTTAAAATATGCCATTTGAAATAGCCTGGGGTGTCTACCTTTACAAATGTTAGGTTTTGTGAGGGTTTTTCAAACAGTCAAACTGCTATAATGCCCCAAATTGAAACATAGGCCCATCAAATCCATCTCAAAATTCTACTGTAAATACTGAAACTGACAGGTCTCCCATATGGCACTGTAGCTTTACGAAATAGTGCCAAAGACTTACAATGGGGGCGACATTGTACTCAGCAGATGTAGCTGAACACAAAATGAGGTTTTGTACTGGAATAGCACACACCAACTTTATGAAATACACATGAGAAGTTCTTTGTTATAAGTTTTACTCCAATATTTAGAGATTGGCGGTGAAATGGCTAGGTAAAAAGTGTCAAAATAACATTAGTTAAATAAACAATAAAAGATAGGTTATACCCTTAACCTCTAACTGCAGTCTCCAATGCTGCAGTAATATAAATGAACCTATCTCTCCTAGATAGTCAAATAGTAATATACCACAAACTACAATTAGAGTCAATAACAGATCTTATATATTGAATGCAACAGACTAAATAATAAAGTCCAATATTGGTCTGTGCAAGTTTCCTTTATCCCCGGTATTTTCTTGGATAGTAGCACTCCATAATAAAGATGAATATGTAAAAAAAGATACATAGAAAAAAACTGAATTAGTAACTCTCTGTATCAATACAGTACATGAGAAGCAGTCCAGATTAATTAAAAAACTTGCTTTATTAGTGTCTCAAAAATCTTTTTTCCAATAATATCATAGTAATCAGACTTCATTAACATGTATTTGTAAGCTGATATACAAAGTTCATATTAGGTGCAGACCTTGTATTGCTCACGGCATCCCGGATCAACAGCTTAGATGTTATTTTGCAGGATACAATACAGGTAAGTGTCCCCTAGATGCTGGCTTTCAGTAATCAGCGATCAGTCCTTCCAAACGCGTTTCTCCGTCAGAACGGCTTTTTCAATGGATACGGACTGTCAAGCAGTTCCCGCTTATATAGCCGTGTATTCCCCTCAATTTTCACATATCATTCAACATGCATTTTTGATAATTTTACATACACAGTATTTAATATTGTAACATTATAGTATTAACACATATTCTTAGATTCTCATTCTTAATCTCAGATATTTTGTTGCATTTATTACCACTTGTAACCATAGTTACTCCCGCTTCTAAGCATTTTTTGTACAACATTAGTTGAATAGCCTGTGATGTCTGCTTTATATAAATATATACTTTTGTGTGGCAATTTTGTTTTCTGTGATGGCTATTTGCTTACAGGACAAACATACCAAATTCTAAAATCGCTCCACATTATAAGTTTATTTTACTCCTTGTGTTTTGTGACCTGTAACTACACATTATATATTCTGTAAATCAGAACTAAATGAATTTATTTTTAATTACTTTCCTTAGCCTGCACTAATTATGCACACATTATTGCAAAAACTGTAAAAAAAACAAAAACTTTTTTTTTTTTTATAATAAACAAACATTTATATGTTACATCAATTTAAAGCCCTTTTTTGTCCTTTTAAAAACGGTATTTAATATGTGTTGGTGCAATAAAATTGTAAAATGCAAATTGCAGTTGAACGCAAACAGCAAAAAATGTGAATTACTTGTGTCCTTAAGTGCAAGGCAAGCTTTTGAAGCTGTGTCCTTAAGGGGTTAATTCTAACAAGCCATGTATGACATATGGGAGCAGTAGGTTACTGGATATCTTGACTCCATTCAGTTCTGATTAGGGGATTGCTCAGCGTGCAAGTAAAGTACATGCCATTTTACAATAGCATTGCAAAAAAAAATAGGATTTTATTATTTTTTAATTTTCTTCATATTAAGGGTGCGAAGCAGTAATGTTTAAAGGAGCATTTTCCTATTTTCATTTTTTTTTTTTTTTTATTTATTCTAGATTGTCCCCCAACACTCTGGTGACCCCACACAAGACGAATATGCTGGGAAATGGAAACTATGATGTTAATGTAATCATGGCAGCACTTCAGACCAAGGGATATGAGGCTGTATGGTGGGACAAAAGGAGGTATAAACACCTCCTATTTATTACTAACATCAGTGACAGGGATCTGATTTCTACGCAGTACTGTACCATTGCAGTCTATTAAATCTGTTGGAGTTATTCCCTAGGCTGTGAATGTGTGTCTAAATTGCAACACTTTAGGAAGGAAAACTGTAATTATTCCTGAATGTGAAAATGTGACCTAGAATAATGTATTGTTTCAAAAAATATGAAGTAAAAAGTATCCTAAATTGCTTACAAAGTGAAGAAATACATGCTGACATTCACCAAATGCTGAATTCCATTCAGATAGACCTTTAAACTTGTTAAAGGGACACTATAGTCACCCAGACCACTTCAGCTCAATGAAGTGGTCTGGGTGCCAGGTCCCTCAGGTTTTAACCCTGCAGATGCAAACATAGCGGTTTCAGAGAAACTGCTATGTTTACATTGCAGGGTTAAGCCAGCCTCTAGTGGATGTCTTCCGGACAGCCACTAGAGGCGCATCTGCGACGCTGGAGGCATATTATGCCACCAGAGCGCATGCGTATTCGGCTCCACTGACGTTGGCAGAGGGAGCTGACGTCAGCGGGGCAGGAGAGGTCACCAGTGCCGAGGGAGCCTGGTGCTGGAATAAGGTAACCACGGGAGAGGGATCTCGAGGGTGGGGGCACCCTCAGGGCACTATAGTGTTGGGAAAACCACTTTGTTTTCCTGACACTATAGTGATTCTTTAACTATGGGCATGCTAAAGGAATTTTGTGTGCCTGCTTTTTGATGTTCATTAAAATAAAAATTAATAAAAATACAGTTTGACTCCTTTGTTCTCCTAGTGACCACCTGCATGCTTATCTTGCTATTCTTGTGTTAGTGGTGATGGATTGAACAAAACTATGGCGGGTTCCTCACAATTTATCCTTCAGCCATATGCATGCACCTTGGGTCGGACAGTGTTTGAAAATCGACCGTTCGTATCTATGGTCCTGACCATAGAGTTTAATTGTGTGACGCAAGGTGCATGCATATGGCTGAAGGATCCTGTCACATACTAAAGGTAGGGATTAGTTTGTTTTTGTTTTTGTTCTTTCAAAATCCCCACTTCATTTTACAAAGAAAATTTATTTACTTTCAAAATGTGCTGAAAGTATTATTCTATTAAAATATAGTTGTGTGGTGACAGTTGTCCTTTAAGATACAAGGGGCATAGAGAAAAGTGGGAGATTACTTTGCTTCTTTTAAGAGTGCTTGTGTCCTGCTGAGTCTCTAACAAATAAGGCCAGTCTTCCTACCATAGCCAAACCCCAATGTCCATCTGCATAGGCTTTAAAATACATAGTGGGGCTCCAGCAAAAGCCCTAAAAGTAAGACGTTTCTATTCTTACTCCTTATATGCCTGCAGGTTACAATAAAATAAATATTTAAGATGGCTTCAATATGCTCCCCACACTATTTGTAGTGAATGTCTACTTCAAATAATCATTTCCTAACAATGCACAGTTCCCATGTGATAGTGTAAAAGCCTATTAAATGGTCACCGTGGTGCGAATTGCCCACTACCGCTCCTTCTTAAAAAAAAATATATATATATATATATATATATATATATATATATATATATATATATATATATATATATATATATATATTAATTATAGATTTTCTCAAAGCTATCCTTCCTTTTCCACTGCACTAAAAATTACAAAAAATGAGAGTACCATTGTACAAAATAGATATCTGCCATCGGAGGCCTGTACTGTTCTTTTTGGAGAGGTGGGCATTGTTTGTGCCAAATGGCCGATGCACCCATTTGCTCCTCCCAAGGGCCATCTCACAAACCGTGCCAGGCAACTAAGGCCTCAATTAAAAAAAAAAAAAATTTTTCTTCAAATTCTTGTAATCAGTTTAGAAAATTACTGTTTGTGGTTTTGTGTGTATGTAACATTTTTCTTTTTTTATTTAGGGATGTTTGTTTGATTTCGCTTTCCAATGTAACTGGGTTCATCATGAACCTCCCATCTAGTTTGTCTTGGGGCCCCCTTAAACTCCCACTCAAACGTCAGCACTGGATATGTGTGCGTGAAGTGGAAGGCACTTATTACAATTTGGACTCAAAATTAAAAAGGCCAGAACGGATTGGAAATGAGGAAGATCTAAGGTAGGATTTTACTCTGTGTATAGTAAACTGTAGTGGTTATGTTACCACTGTTAAAAGGTTACTCCAAGGGGGCGGACCATTACAATGTAAAATGCCCTATTTAGCACTATGGATAAGGTCCTGACCTTGATTTGCAGTAAATTACAGGCTTCTCATAGAGGGCAGGGAGTTTGTGTGGTTTTGTTTTTTTTTTTACTGTCTGTAACAGAGGAAGGTTGGAGGTAGAAGCACCAACGATTATTAAGTGGGCAGTGTGCACTAACAGATGTAAAATATGCACAGAATTGACACTGGCAGCCTGGAATTCTGAGTACCAAGTACCTCCGCCCAATCTGCCTCCTAGCCATTGGGGAAGGAGCTTGAAACGGTTTAGCCCCAGTCACTGAAGCTTGACTGGGTTCTTTCTGGAACTCTTCCACCCAAACAGATTCTTAGTCCAGGCAGGTCCTCTCTGCCTATTCTTCTGCAGCTTTCCTGCGAGGGAGGTATGGTCTCCTTTGCCTGTTCCTCTGCAGCTCTAGTTATAGTGATTTGTTCCTGTCTTTACAAAGACATTTGCGACTCTCAGGCCTAAGTCTCTTTTGATTTGCAACTGGGCTTGAGTGATTGTGCAGCCAGCCAAGAGGTCCCAAGACTCTGTTACTGGGACCCCTAAAAATCCACACGGGACACACCGTTCCAAAAGGAACTAACGTAATATTCCTTATCTTTTACTCAGGGCTAATTCATATGCTCGTAACACATAGATTGCTGTGACTACTTCAATAAAATACAAATATAAAGAACATCTAGCAAACAAGCTTAATTACATAAACTATATAATGCAAATAGCATTTTCAAACACCATAATATATACATTTAACTACTTTTTTCATTGCCCCCATTATGCAAATAAACAGTCAGTCAGGAGAGAGCGCTGCAGAGTTATAAAGTAACAATGTATGCCTTTCCAAAAGGCCATGGCATGGGAGCTTCTGTCACAGTGTGCAAATAGCTCTTTGCACGCATTTTACAATATTCCTGTGTGTGCAGTGTTTCAATTCAATACAAACTCTTACCACCGTAAATCACTGAAGTGGTTATGGTGTGTGGGGTGGAGTAGAACTTTAAGTGTTATGTGTTGTATCGAATATTTAAAAAAATAAAAAAATACATCTGGAACTTTCTGGTTTTGCCTATGAATTCTTCTTGGGGTCTCACATCATTTCTACTCTGGAAATGATTATTGGTTCTTATGTCAGAAATAATAATCCTATAAAAACATACCAGTGCGGAATGTTAAACCCTTTTTTTCTTTTAATGGCATTACCAGTTAAATATAAAATCTGTTTGCCTATAGTGCTGGTGCATTTTTGTATTATTTATTCGTGATGAAAGATCTTGTGTGAAAATGTCAAACCATTTTATTTTAAAAAAACAAAACAAAATGTTTTCTTTGGTATATCTACTAAATTGTCGAAGCTCTTAAAATTATTTTTAATTTTTCTTTAAAGTCCCTTTATCCCCTCGATAAATAGACATTATAAAATGGATATTTCTTTCTCTACCCAGGAAGTTTTTGCAGCATCAGCTAAGAGGTAAAAACTGTGAGCTGCTGCTGGTGGTGCCTGAAGAAGTAGAACTTGATCAACGATGGCGGGCCGATCTGTGATCTACAATTTGACTTTTTAAACATTTTTTTTTTTTTTGTTCTCTCACTACATTATTTTTTCTTAGCTCTTCTTGACAATCTCTGTTCTGGAAAGATCCTGTCTCCAGAAAAGAACTTTTTTTTTTTTTTTTTTTTTAAATCTTCTAGTGCAATACAGAGGAACAGGATAAAGGACTTATTAATGGGAGCATGCGGAGGCTTAGGCTGGTACTTCATCTCAGTGAGGTTTCTTACAGCATAGCTGTGAAACTTGGACATGATTGATTACCCAGCTACAGCAGACTGATGGAAGTAGTCATATTATTGCAAACCGTGACCGCAAATTCTGACTACACAAGCCTCTTCTGTCTAGAGGTATTTCCACTACAATAATGCTGAAATATTGCTTGTTACATGGAGTGTCTGTAACCCAAGGAATGGAAGAAATGGCTAAATATAAGCAACCTGACGGATAAGCTGCCTAAAACCAAACTGAGCCATCTTTTTTTATATGTAAGAACACCTCTTAAAAGCCTCAATCCTTAAAAGCTACCCTTGTGTCACTATATATAAAGTGCTCTTTTTAAAAAGAAGAAAAAATTCTGTCTAGTGTGAGATATGGTGTTCTTCCTTTTCACAAAATGTATAGAAAAGAAAATAGCACTTCATTTTTTTTATTCACTGGTCGTTTTTTTTTTGTTTTTTTTTTTATATAGCGATGTGTGGTGCTGAAAAAGTATTCCTTTCCTGATACACCATCATATTTTGTGTATATATAAAAGATGGCTATTAAACATTTGTGTAACACTAGGAGCACACTTATAGTGGCATTCATTTAGCAAATTTTGTTAAGGTAAGTGGCACAGGGGAAATGTATAAACTGGTCAGATATAAACGAATCACAAATGCTGTCTTGACTTCTTGAAACTCTCACCAGAAATGTTATTTGCCAGTGCAAGGCTCTTGATTTTTGTACAGCCTCACTAAACCCACTCTGAAATGCTGTATTCTTCATAAGTGGAGCCTAGGTAAAATCTGACTTTCATGCTCTTCTGCCATTGGTCTGGCATGTTTTTTTTTTTTAATTCTGTAACATTTGTAGAGCTAAAATGAGGGTATGCTTTAATTTTCCAAGTGTTTCCAGAGGTTGTATGCTTGTTTTTTTTTTTTTTTTTCACAGTGGAGAGAGTGCACATTGGTATGAGAAGTGGGATTCTTCATAGCAAACTTTTTTTTTGGGTGATGTTGAGTCCGTTACTATTTTACATGCTATGCTTTTAAAAGGAGCATAGCCATATGGAAATATTGTATCTAACATGGCCTGGTAATCATCCAATGAACCCTCAGGCTGCTAATCATGTATAGTGCATGATCCATTCTGCTGACTATGTTCTATGCCATGAATGGGGCCATTCTTCAGACCGTCTCATATGTTTATGGGAACTTTCCCTTGAGGAGGCTCTGTGTTGATTTTCTGACTCTTTTCTAATACAGGTCCAAGAATGTGACCAATCAATTATACTGTGGGGTTTGGCATATATATTTTTTATTTTTTGCATCAGCAGGTAAGAAAACTGCAATATTATCTGGGTGCTCAGTCAAAACCAGGAAGTGTGTGTTCTGTTGATTTTATGTGCCTCCAATTTCTCTAATTTATTTTACCTTTTTTATTTTTATTTTGCTTGTTCATCTGTTTTTTGGTTTCCCCCACAAATGCTGCTTTCTTCTATTGGTAATTTTTAATGGATGAATTAAAAAAAATTTAAAGCAGGTCTGATACATCCCAAAACCATAATGTTGGTTTTCACGCTACAGAGATTCGCTGCAACTGTAGGCCTGTTAACATAGATGAATAAAAATAAATCCTTGGACATTCACAATAGCTAGTGTTTTAAGGTAAGGGTCAGTCAAACATTCAAAACAAGTTATTTTTTTTGTTTAAAATTTCCTGTTTAGCGCAGTCAGAAATGGGATTTTAGAAACGAAGGCTCAACTATTAAAAGTAAAAAAAAAAAAAAAAATCTTTTTATGCTATTTTTTTTGTGCTGTTTGTTTACAGAGAAATGTATTTTGTTATCCAAATCTGAAAATAAAGCAAGAATATTAAGACTGTTCAAGCCACGTGTTAAATTTGTATACTCAAGAAAATAATGGAAAATGTGGTAAATGTAAAATCCCAATATTCCATATAGATTGAAAGTAGGAGTGCACAACTTTATTATAAGAGAGGGAGCCAGTTGTCTGGCTTACATGGTGTAAAGTCACCCTAAACAACATGTTTACCAGGGGCATTGCTAGGATGAAAAAATATCTAGGACTTGAGCTAAAACTAGATTTGAGGACTCCTCTTAACACCTACACGAGATATGCCTCCTGACAGTCACTGTTAGATACAGACAGGCACACATCAAGTATGCTAAAGTGGTGATGTAATTATTCTACAATACTCACTTGTATTTCCTCTCATCCTCCCCAAAGTTTCCTTTGTTTCACCTATCACATGTCCTACCCTAACCTTCTTACATTTAACCCTTTCCACAATACCCACTTAACAATGTAAGCCCTCCCCTAAGCAGCATACCTGGATGCTGTTCTCTTACACCAGGCTCCTGCTCACTCAACGTTCCCACACAAGGCTCTGTGTGAGGATAGAGCAGGTTATGTGAGGTCATCTCTAGTCCCTGCTTCTCAGTCTTCACACAGCATACCAAGAGGTTAAATGTGACGGAGACCAGGGGAGGTAAATTTTAAAACACCAGCCTATTGATGGGGCACCAAAATCTTGCTCAGTCCCCTGATCAAAGCACACAGATTCAGAGCCATGTTTGTACATTGAGGGCTGTGGGGCACAGGTTGTGCACCTCTAAATTAAAGGGAAAGCATAGGGTACATTTCAATCTCTGCTTTCCACTAGAGCTGCAACCTTGAGTTTTCAAGGTGAATCTGAATCCGTAGAGGAAATGGGTATTGTGTTTACAGTGCTATAGGGCTCTGCTCTCGAATGTTATTTTTGCTAACTTCTATTTAGAAGTATTGTTGAATTCTGCCACTACTCTTTTGTGGACCAGTGAGTAATGGTTGCCTAGGATCAATGCTAAAGGGGTCTTAAATTTTATTTTTCATTATAACTATAGTGTCCTTAAAACATGGTCTTGGTGTGTGTTTTTTTTTTTTTTTCCTTACTCAAAGTCCAGGGCTCTCTTAAAACATCAAATGTTTGCACTTGTTTTCATTGACTTTGCTTCAGTGCTAGGACACCAGAGCAGAATCCTATTAATAATTGTGAACTTCTTGGAGCTGTTGCTTAATGTATATTACAAACCAAACACCTATGCATTTAAAAACAATTCATTCTCTGGCTGAACTGTGTAACACATCTAGATTTCAAAAATGCCCATCACCTTTTAAAGGCTCTAAGTGAACCTATAATAAAAATAAAAATAAAAAAATTGTCGTATATCAAATATACATGCTGTATTCAATTTGTTTTTTTATAAAATATATACTCAATTTACTGCTGGTGTTAAAATGGAGTGACGTTTCACTGCTATAGTCTGTAGCTGTTGCTAAAAGCATGCACTAAAATTGCTATGGGAGGTTAATTAAAGTCCTGGTGCTAGGATAGCTCTGGCTCACCCAAAAGTCTTTGATGCAGCACTGAATCTACCTGCCTCTCTGCCCTTCTATTTTCTAAAAATATCTACACCAGAAGGCTATTGCAGAATTGAGCAGCGATGCCGTTGACTGGCTAAGAGTGATCAGTGAATCCACTTTCATAAAACTTGCTTGAAAACGGTGCACATTTCTACAAACACACTTTAAAAGCCAACAAGTCTAGAGATGATCTGCTTTAGAACACAGACTAATCGGACAGAAGGTACCACATTTTGAATATTGCCCGTACTAATAAAGAAACCATACCTTAGTTCAAATCATTTTAATATTTGAAAGGAAAATAAAAATTATTTTGTAAGTAGATCAATAAAGCTCCAAGTCATAACCAACTCTTTAGACTGAAGTGGTTAAAACATTACAAAAACAAAACTTTAACCATAATAGGCCCCCAAATACTTGGGCTTTCTAGCAATTGAATTAGGGCTTCAAGCCTGTTTATTGGTACTCATGAAAAATTCATGTTTTTCCATTAATAAAAAAATCAACTGACAATGTTTGTGATGTTTTGCTATTTAGTACTTTGATGCCATGGTACTATCACAGTAACCGCTAGGAAAACCTGCAAATCATCATGAGCATAAGCAGTGTATTCAGTGATCCTACTTTAACAAAAAAGTGTGAGGGAAAAAACAAATATTCTTACATGGCTGAAAGGCACCTACAAAGTAATACATTTGTGTTTTTATTTTAAGTGTCAACTTAATCACACGATTCACTGTTTGCTAAATACAAATATCTAACACGCATCTCCCAGATCCAGTAATGAAGGAATCATTATGAAGTGCAACAGAACAATCTTTCAAGGGTTAAGTGTGTTTAAAAAAAAAAAAAAAAAAAGTCACTTGTTACTAAAGCAGCATGGTAACAGACTACTTAAACGCTTATGTCTTCAGAAGTGGATTATTCCATGCAGAACACTGAATATGCTAGGTGGCCAAGGAGATTAGTCTTCCATTCATTCCTTCTTCAGCCATCAAGGCAAATTATAATAAAAAAAGAAATTGCAACAACTAGTATGTGAAAGAACTATGCTTTTCCTGGGAGTGGAGGAAGGGGACCAGACATACCCGTTGATGGTCCAAGCAGAATCTGTTTCGAAGAGAGGAAATGTTTTATTACGTATAAACATGTAAATCAATGCAACAATAGTTTGTTCTCATGTCACACCGTAAAAAAAAGCCTGGTTTGACAACTCAACCATGGTCCTGTAAAGTGCTTACGCCGAATCAAATCGTATCTGGTCTTCGCCGGCATGAGATGCTGGATTGCTCTATTGAGCAAAGCAAGTTGGCTGAGAGTGCAGCCCTGCACTGCCTGTGTTTTCTTCAGAGACACAGCAGAAAGTTGTCAAAGCGAGCTAACTTGCAGATGTGCCTAAATGTTTCCATCTAAATATTGTGCTAGCAGAAAGGCGACAGCAATTTAATAGAGTAAAGCAATTTATTTTTATATACACCTACAGTCACATAGTAACACCATTAGCATTCTATAAATGTTAGAGTAGACTTAACCGGAAGGTGATCATATTCAGTCATAAGAACCATTAGTTCACGCTATACAATAATTAGCCTTGAGTTAGGATGCAAGGCAATGTTATTAATCGAATGTCCTATGAGTGGCTCTCCGGAGCGGTCCGAGAGTTATATATGGCTCCTCTCTCCTCCCCCCCCTTCCTCCTTTTCAACCTCTCCACTTTCTGAGAAACCTATCTTTTTACCTTTCTCTTTTTTGTTTTACCTTACAATGAACACCTATGCACAGTAGGATAGCAAGCAGGTGACAAAAGAGAGGAAGGAGCAGCTGCGGATGCAACTCTGAACCATGGCTGTTCCATAGTGGACGTAATTTAAGACCAAGAGATATTACGAATAGCGCTAATAAATGCTGGCACTGTTGGTTCAAGTTTTATTGAAAAATTCAAAAACCAGACGGAACGTCTTGTAAAGTACAAACACGTGACTAATTCTCACATTCTTACATAACATAATTGTAACAGTGATTCTGACACTACTTGAACTGACGATATACTACTATCCCATAACATAGTGTGTGTGTGTGTGTGATATATATATATATATATATATATATATATACACACACACACATATATATATACATACATACACGCAATCGTGTTTTGTTATATCTGTAATGCATAAGATTTCCTGTCTTGGAATAAGAATCAGCCTTCACTGCCCTCTTGCCCATCACTCAATAACTGCACCACCATCCTAAGTATAATCGAATAACTGACTTCCACTTTATGGCAGGGACATAAAATTACATATGAGGTAGAATTTGAATCTTAGGAAGGGTTGCTAAGAAACATTGAATTATAAATATATTTGTTCCATCTTTTGGAAATCACGGTTGTACCTCTTGTTTTTTGATGTATCGATTTTATAATCTAGTTTGGCGTTTTGTCGTTATGAATGACTAAAATTTCACATAGACCTTTCTTGGAAAGATAACTTTCTTGGAGGTTATTCTCCCTATAAAACAATTGTCAAGGCCTACTATGACCTTGTAGTACAATTTGTCAAGTGTCGCATGTCTCACCTGTCTCTGTTGTAGCTGCTGCTGCTGCTCCATCTGAAGTTTTTCAGTCTCAAATACTACTGGCAAGACCAGAATCATAAATGAAGTAGTACCTATCCATAACGCAGAGCGAGAAAAACTGTAATAAAAAGAAAGAAATAGTGGGAATTGGGAACATGATGTACATTAAACCCTAAGCCTCCCAATGTACTTATGCCAACTCTTCATCCACCCACCTCGTTAACGTTTTATCCCATGCCTTGCATATGAATAGGCTGCTATTGAAATGATTTGAAAACTATATGGCCAATTATAATTTGCCAATGTTAAAGGACCACTCTAGGCACCCAGACCACTTCAGCTTAATGAAGTGGTCTGGGTGCCAGGTCCCTCTAGGATTAACCCTTTTTTATAAACATAGAGAAACTGCTATGTTTATAATAGGCTTAATCTAGCCTCTAAAGCCTCTAGTGGCTGTCTCATTGACAGCCGCTAGAGGCGTTTGCGTGCTTCTCACTGTGAAAATCAGTGAGAAGACGCCAGCGTCCATAGGAAAGCATTGCGAATGGCTGAATTCGCGCGCAGCTCCTGCCGCGCATGCGCATTCAGCCGAAGAGGAGAGCTCCTTGTCCGGCGCTGGAGAAAAGGTAAGTTTTAACCCTTTCCTCGCCATCCAGCCCGGCGGGAGTGGGGGCACCCTCAGGGCACTATAGTGGTCCTTTAAGACACACTTAACAAATTAAGTTGGACACAAACAAATCATCTTGTTGCTTTCAGCTCAAAGACAAAATCTCTAAGGTGACAAATGTTTTTTTCTTTTCTTGTAATAAAAAAACAAAACAAAAAAAAAACACAAACACACACATATTAGTCCTTCACTTAGATATCTGCTACTCAATGTACATAGTATTTAGTTCCATGTGTATTAACAATAATACAAATGTTTAAAAAAAAAAAAAAATTTCATTTGATGTACAGGTAGGTACAGATTATCAGCAAACGCCATAACAGCGTGAGTGAGTGTGTGTGTGTGTGTATATATATATATATATATATATATATATATATATATATATATATATATATATATATATATATATATATATATATATATATATATATATACATACACACATACACACACGCTCGACAGTGGCATGAGTAATCGCACATTTTTTGGTATACATAAAAAAAAAAGCTTCACTGAAGTGATGTGTTTCCAGAGTGAAATTTAGTATGTAAGTGAAGGAGGAATGTAGTGCAAGAAAGTTGTGTATTTTAGTTCAGGCTACATATGAGATGAGAGTTAGTAACACGTTTGGCTGTCCTTTGGCTTAGGTAATCATAAATCATATTAAGTATAATACTCTGCAGGAGTTTAAACATGGTGTGGGTACATAAGGCATGTGTCCTACAGTAAGCTGAGTAGGTGTGCCTGTGTAACGTTACACGTAGGATTAACTACTGGGTTGCCCCTACATAGCTTAGAATGGCAACACAAAAGCATGCATTCAGAGAAAACAAGGACAGCTTAATATTGGTGGCACCATCTGCATGGTTGTAGATGGGTATATCGGATTACTGTGGCAGCAGCTGTGGCTTATAGAAATGTGTCCCTGAGCAGTGGGGGCTATGTTCTCGGGGTGGCATGTCTAAGTCGATGCCTTGACTGTGTAGTCGGAGATGCTCCGGGTATGGTAGCTTGAGCAGGGTGTGTCAGGATCTCGCCCCTACCTCCCCGTGCCTGAGAGGGGGCCCGCATCTAGGGTCCATGCACCCTAACATCGTGGTGATTCAAGTCCCTCCCTACCAGGAGAATGTGGGGGCTGCGGGTAGTCCGCATTTGGGTGCCGGGTCTCCCCCGACGTGGTCGAGGCTTTACGGCTT